AGTAGTACCCCCGTAGTAGGACCCCTGTAGGAGTACCCCTGTAGGAGGACCCCCGTAGTAGTGCCCCTGTAGTAGGACCCCTGTAGTACCCCTGTAGTAGTACCCCTGTAGGAGGACCCCCGTAGTCGTGCCCCTGTAGGAGGACCCCCGTAGTAGTGCCCCTGTAGTAGGACCCCTGTAGTAGGACCCCTGTAGTAATACCCCTGTAGTAGGATCCCTGTAGAAGTGCCCCTGTAGTAGTAGTGCCGCTGTAGGAGGACCCCTGTAGTAGTAGTACCCCTGTAGGAGGACCACTGTAGTAGGACCTCTGTAGTAGTTGCCCCCGTAGTAGGACCCCTGTAGGAGGACCCCTGTAGTAGTGCCCCTGTAGTAGTGCCCCTGTAGTAGTACCCCTGTAGGAGGACCCCTGTAGTAGTGCCCCCGTAGTAGTGCCCCTGTAGGAGGACCCCTGTAGTAGTGCCCCTGTAGGAGGACCCCCGTGTAGTCGTCGGCGTGGTGGTTCCGCGCCTTGGGCCACAGCGCCCCTTGGCGTCGGCCCGGGCCGCCTCCCCAGCCCCTGTAGTAGTGCCCCTGTAGTAGGACCCCTGTAGTGGACCCCTGTAGGACCCCTGTAGTAGTAACCCCTGTAGTAGGACCCCTGTAGTAGGACCCCTGTAGTAGTGCCCCTGTAGTAATGCCCCTGTAGTAGGACCCCTGTAGGACCCCTGTAGTAGTAACCCCTGTAGTAGGACCCCTGTAGTAGGACCCCTGTAGTAGTGCCCCTGTAAGTCGTGCCCCTGTAGTAGGACCCCTGTAGTAGTACCCCTGTAGTAGTGCCCCTGTAGTAGGACCCCTGTAGTAGTACCCCTGTAGTAGGACCCCTGTAGTAGTGACCCCTGTAGTAGTGCCCCTGTAGGAGGACCCCTGTAGGAGGACCCCCGTAGTAGTACCCCTGTAGGAGGACCCCTGTAGTAGTGCCCCTGCAGTAGTACCCCCGTAGTAGGACCCCTGTAGGAGTGCCCCTGTAGGAGGACCCCTGTAGTAGGACCCCTGTAGTAGTGCCCCTGTAGTGGTGGTGCACCTGTAGGAGGATCCCTGTAGTAGTAGTACCCCTGTAGGAGGACCACTGTAGTAGGATCCCTGTAGGAGGACCTCTGTAGTAGTTGCCCCCGTAGTAGGACCCCTGTACTAGGACCCCTGTAGTAGTGCCCCTGTAGTACTACCCCTGTAGGAGGACCCCCGTAAGTGTGCCCCTGTAGGAGGACCCCCGTAAGTAGTGCCCCTGTAGAAGGACCCCCGTAGTAGTGCCCCCGTAGTAGTGCCCCTGTAGTAGTACCCCTGTAGTAGTGCCCCTCTAGGAGGACCCCTGTAGTAGTGCCCCTGTAGTAGTACCCCCGTAGTAGGACCCCTGTAGGAGTGCCCCTGTAGGAGGACCCCTGTAGTAGAGCCCCTGTAGTAGTGCCCCTGTAGGAGGACCCCTGTAGTAGTAGTACCCCTGTAGGAGGACCACCGTAGTAGGACCCCTGTAGTAGGACCCCTGTAGTAGGACCCCTGTAGGAGGACCTCTGTAGTAGTGCCCCCGTATTAGGACCCCTGTAGGAGGACCCCTGTTGTAGTGCCCCTGTAGTAGTGCCCCTGTAGTAGTGCCCCTGTAGGAGGACCCCCGTAGTAGTGCCCCTGTAGTAGGACCCCTGTAGTAGTGCCCCTGTAGGAGGACCCCCGTAGTAGTGCCCCTGTAGGAGGACCCCCGTATTAGTGCCCCCGTAGTAGTGCCCCTGTAGGAGGACCCCCGTAAGTAGTGCCCCTGTAGTACGAACCCCCGTGTAGTAGTGCCCCCGTAGTAGGACCCCTGTAGGAGGACCCCTGTAGGAGGACCCCCGTTAGTAGTACCCCTGTAGGAGGGCCCCCGTAGGACCCCCGTAGGAGGAACCCCCGTAGTAGTGCCCCTGTAGGAGGACCCCTGTAGTAGGACCCCTGTAGTAGTGCCCCTGTAGTAGGACCTCTGTTAGTAGTACCCCTGTAGGAGGACCCCCGTAGGAGGACCCCTGTAGTAGTGCCCCTGTAGGAGGACCCCTGTAGTAGGACCCCTGTAGGAGGACCTCTGTAGTAGTGCCCCCGTAGTAGGACCCCTGTAGGAGGACCCCTGTAGTAGAGCCCCTGTAGTAGTGCCCCTGTAGTAGTACCCCTGTAGGAGGACCCCCGTAAGTAGTGCCCCTGTAGGAGGACCCCCGTAAAGTAGTGCCCCTGTAGGAGGACCCCCGTAGTAGTGCCCCTTGTAGTAGTACCCCTGTAAGTAGTGCCCCTGTAGGAGGACCCCTGTAGTAGTGCCCCTGTAGTAGTGCCCCTGTAGTATTACCCCCGTAGTAGGACCCCTGTAGGAGTTCCCCTGTAGGAGGACCCCTGTAGTAGTGCCCCTGTAGTAGTGCCCCTGTAGTAGTACCCCCGTAGTAGGACCCCTGTAGGAGTGCCCCTGTAGGAGGACCCCTGTAGTAGTGCCCCTGTAGTAGTAGTGCACCTGTAGGAGGACCCCTGTAAGTAGTAGTACCCCTGTAGGAGGACCACCGTAGTAGGACCCCTGTAGTAGGACCCCTGTAGTAGGACCCCTGTAGGAGGACCTCTGTAGTAGTGCCCCCGTAGTAGGACCCCTGTAGGAGGACCCCTGTAGGAGGACCCCTGTAGTAGTGCCCCTGTAGTAGTGCCCCTGTATAGTGCCCCTGTAAGGAGGACCCCCGTAGTAGTGCCCCTGTAGTAGGACCCCTGTAGTAGTGCCCCTGTAGGAGGACCCCTGTAGTAGTGCCCCTGTAGGAGGACCCCCGTAGTAGTGCCCCCGAAGTAGTGCCCCTGTAGTAGGACCCCCGTGTAGTAGTGCCCCCGTAAGTAGGACCCCTGTAGGAGGACCTATGTAGGAGGACCCCCGTTCGTAGTACCCCTGTAGGAGGAACCCCCGTAGGAGGACCCCCGTAGGAGGACCCCCGTAGTAGTGGCCCCTGTAGGAGGACCCCTGTAGTATGACCCCTGTAGTAGTGCCCCTGTAGTAGGACCCCTGTAGTAGTACCCCTGTAGGAGGACCCCCGTTGGAGGACCCCTGTAGTAGTACCCCTGTAGGAGGACCCCCGTAGGACCCCTGTAGTAGTGCCCCTGTAGGAGGACCCCCGTAGTAGTGCCCCTGTAGTAGGACCCCTGTAAGTAGGACCCCTGTAGGAGGACCCCTGTAGTAGTACCCCCGTAGGAGGACCCCCGTGTAGTCGTCGGCGTGGTGGTTCCGCGCCTTGGGCCACGGCGCCCCCTGGCGTCGGCCCCGGCCGCCTCCCCCAGCGCCGCTCGCTGCTGCTGATGATGATGGTGGTGATGATGATGATGGTTCTTGTTGTTATCCTTAGTTCTTTAATCGGTCTCTTATTATTCTTCACTTATTTTCAGAGCGGTAGGAGGGGGGGGGGGCACTTCCGCCGATAAGACACCACCGGTGTGAGGAGTGCCGCCACACACTTGAAGCCATCGTTGTGTTTGACAGCAGCACGATGATGATGGTGGTGGTGGTGTGTGGTGTGGGGTGTTTACACTCCGTCGCATCTTGTCGGGGTCCTCATTCAAGGCCGCCAGTGGCCGCCAGTAGCCCGCGGACCTAGCAATGAAGAACGCTGATCTAATCGAACTTGTCTTGAACGGGTTTCACGTGCTATGAAGATGGGACATTGCCCGAAACGCCTCGTATGATAGTTCTTTTTTTCATCTGTTGTTGACGAACGTGCCGAGGTGGTGACGAATGTAACTGTGGGCTGAGCTGCCGAGTTGCGAGCCCTGACCACAGCGAATGCAAGTTACACGGTGCTTCAAAAAAGTGTTAACACTTACATGGGACTATAGTTTTTAATGGCAAAAGAACAGATAATACACTGTAACATGATAACAAATGTAATGTTAATAACTTCAAAAAGTCTCCCACTTGTTCGCCATCATCGCAATATTCTCCAGGTGGTCCTCAGAGTCCAGAGGCACATTTCTTGTATTGTTATAAATTCTCAGAAGTGTTAAAACATTTTTGAAGCACCCTGTACCGTCTCTCTTACACACCCCATCAGCCTCGCCGCCTGCTGGGAGTGCAATCATTCCAAAAGACGCCTTTTGGCGTCCTCTGGTCTAACACCGTTTGAGACGAGGCTCAAAAGAAAGCTGTCTTTGGTGTGGACCAATCAGTTTAAAGTATTTTTTTGTTTGCATTCTCACCACAAGCATTGCGGTTAATGCAGACATGATTCCTTGTAAAAGGTTTCAGTTTGGTGTTTTAACATCTTAACACCTCTTTTGTTGCCAGAAAAAATGGGGTAAACCCGATTATCTTACAGGTTCAGACTAAACACGGCCCGACGCAGTGAGAGCGCGCCAGCTACATTGCCTCGTCACCTCACCCACCCTGTCCTTATATAGCGACCCGTGACGTCACCATCAGACCGCCACGCCCCTTGCACAGCAAGCTCCGCCCCACCCGACGTTTCGAGTTTTACGAGCGCGCGCCCCCACCCCCGTGGAGACGTCAGAGGGGCTTCCCCCGCACCCTCCGCCCCCCCCTACCCACAATGCACGCGGGAGGCGAAGAGCGCATGCGCAGGGGGGGGGGGTCGGTGAGATTGAGCGGGAGGGGTGGTGGGGAGGCCTAGGAGGCGGGGGCTTGGGTGGGAGGGGGGTTTTTAGGGGAGGAGTTAGGGGATGGGGCGGGGGTTAGGATAATAGTGGGGAGGGGTTAGGAGGATGGGGAAGCTTAAGGGGCGGGGCCTTAGGGAGAAAATTCGAGGGGAGGGACGCTGGAAGTCTAGGGGCGGGGCTCGGGGGGGGTGCGGGGAGTGTCCGGTGGGCAGGGCTAGGCGCGAGCACCGAGGGCGAGGGGCGGGGCTCGCGGGTTTTGGCGAGAGGGAGGGGCGTTGAGAGGCGGGGCTCGGTAGGAGTGAGGGGCGGGGCTCGGGGGGAGTGAGGGGCGGGGGAAGGGGGGGGCTTCAGGGCCGCCGCGCGCGCGCGCGAGCAAAATGGCGGCGGCGTCGTCGTCCGGCAGGAGCGAGCGGAGCGGCCGGGCCGAGCGCGGCGGCGGCGCCGCGGGAGCCGCCGGGATCGGTGGCGCCGCGTCCGCGGACCCCCTGGACGAGATGCTGGCTCGCGACGTGGACGAGAAGGCGGTCAGCGACCTGGTGGGCTCGCTCGAGTCGCGCCTCGGGGGCGCCCGGGTGGCACTCATTGCTAACAACCACGCGGCCCGCGGTGGCGGCGGTGGAGCAGGAGAAGCGGCGAGGGAGCAGCAGCTCAAGCAACAGCAGCAGCTGAAGCAGCAGCAGCAGCAGCGACCTCCGGGACACGGGGTAGTAGCAGCAGCTGCAATTAGCGTCACCGTTGCGAACTCCACGTTTGGATGTGTGGCCTCCACGCCGGTCATCATAACTTCTGTAGGAGGCGGTGGCGGTGCTCCCGTCGCTACTGCCGCTACGGCAGTAGCGACGGGATCAGCAGCAGCAGCAGGAGGTGGTGGTGCTGGTGCTGCTGCTGCACAGGTTCACCCGAGCCGCCTTGGAGGGAGCACAGTGGCCCCCGCGCTCCCCGCCTCCATCTCTTCCTCAGTGTCGTCCATCGCGACCATCTCCCCCATCTCCTCCATCATCTCCTCCTCCTCCGCCTCGTCGTCTCCGCTGCTGCTGAATCACGCGACCAAGGCGATCTCCTTGCCGGTCGGGCAGACGCTCAACGGGAGCACCGTTACCCCCGCGGTCACCCCCGCGGTCAATCCCTTAGGGGTTTCTTCCCCGGGCTGTGCGAGCAATGGGGTGAGGACCCTGCCCCCCGCCGCGAACCCTGCCCGCACGGGGGCCCAGCAGGCGGGGGCCCAGCAGGCGGGGACCCCGTGCACCCCGCGGCCACCCCAGGCCGTGTTCAACGGAGCCGAGCACGGCCACGGGACGCTGCTCGGGCAGCAGCAGCAGCATCTGCAGCTGCACGTGGGAGTGAGTAGCACCACCAGCAGCAGCAGCATCAGCAGCCCAGTGTCCACCCCTCAGGGGCCGCAGCCCGGCGTCTCGAAACCCCCCCTGGCCGCCGTGACGGCCCCCGCGCTGCCGGCGCAGCTGAGGCCCGCCCTGGTGTCCCCCGTGCACCGCGTGATGGCCCCGCAGGTGATCGCCCCGCGGCCCATGCAGCAGCAGCAGCAGCAGACCATGGTGCAGCTGCCGCCCGGCTTCACAATCCCGCCAGGTGAGCGCACACGCTGCAGGCGCGAGCCCGGCCTGAGCCTGTATAGCATAGCCCCCCTAGTAGGTGAGAGGTGATGGGCCTCCAGGTGGCAGCCAGGAGGTAAAAGATGACGGGTGAGGGATGGCAGAGGCAAGGTGAGGGGTGACAACAGATGTGGGATAGCAGCGTGAAGGTGAAAGGTGCAGGCGAGGGATGGCAGGACAGTCAGAGGTAACAAGAGAGTCTATGGCCACATGCGTGGTGCAGCAGGGTGCATGAGTTGACAGGAAGCCGGCCACGTGCAGGTGTGGTGCATGTGACAGATGACAGTGGGCAGCGGAAGGTGAGAGAGAGAGCAGCGGGAGGAAGGTGAGGGGTGGAAGGAGAACGGTGAATGGGACTGCCGGTGATGGGTGCAGGAGAGGGGCGATGTGGGTATGTGTGCCGAGTGGAGCGGGTGAGGATACAGACAGCTGTAGGTGGTGACGGCAGTCGGGCGTGTGAATGGCAGGAGAAGCAGGTGAGAAACAGTGCTGAGTGTGAGACAGGTGAGTCGTCCAGATGCTGAACCTATGCTGGAGCTGTCAGCTGACTTGAGGCTGTGTGTGTGTGCCCGTGGGCGGAATGAGCCCACGTGGAATTCAGCATCGGCAGCAAAAGGACGGAATGTTTTGAAAATAACCAATTTGTCTGTGTACTTAGTCTTGCCTTTCACAGGGTCACGTCTTGCAGCGCTGCTTAACGGTTCGCATGTGAGGTTCACCGGCACTGCTGTAACTCGTGGCTGTGTCTTAGACGCCACCTTTGGTTGGCTTCTCATTCTTTATCCACTGCTACTGCTGCGTGCGTCATATTACACAAATCTAACGAAGTGGAGCCCATCCACTCATCCATCAATTCATTTGAAACCCCTCTCTCCGGCTTAAGTCACCGTCGTGTGGGATGATGCCAACTCTTAAGCACGTGCGCTTTACTTTTTACACATTGCACAGACCACTGTCGAACCAAGGCTGGATGAAGGCTATATGGGGTTGTTTAACCATACCTCACCTCACTGATCAGTTTTGGTTGGGGGGGTGAAAAACAATAGGGAGGTGAGGGTGTGAAAGAAGGTCAGGATCAGTTGCAATATTATTCACCACTGATGTTAGCCGAGGCCATGAATCAAACTGATAACCACTAGATTCCCAGCGCAGTGCATAAACCGCTGCGCCACCGCTTCAACCCCCCTGTTACTTTTGACTCTTTGTGGAAGCGGTAGTGCAGTTGCTGGCACACCACACAACGAACCCGGCGATCCGAGTTCGATTCCCGCTGAAGGCGAACATCAGTGACGAATATCTGAACTGGTTCTGGGCCTCCGCGAGGTCGACTCAGCCATGAAATTAGTCACTTGTTACGATGTGTACAACACAGCACTGGGGAGACAAAGCGGTCGGGCGTTGTGTTAGCCACCCAACTCCTTCGTGTGCCGTGTCCGGTGCTTGTGAACATCACTTGCTCCCAACAGCCTTTTAAAGGCTATCCGGGGGATTTTTGTCCTTGTGTGGTTCAGCTGCGTGTGAATGTTCAATGTAAACTCGTGTTCTCCGCCGCCACAGTGTGTTTCCGTGGAGAGTTGACAGGTCTCGTGTGCCATGCGTTGGTAGTGAGCGCACGTGTAGAGTCGCGGATCGGGGCGTTTGGCGTTCAACCACAAAAACACGACAAGCTGGCGTCACACACACGTTGGGTCAACAGATCTCTGTGTGTGTGCGTGCGCGCGGTGATGGAACGTTAAGCGTGTCTGAAGACACGTGTGTTGTCATCGTCCTTCTCTCTTACGTTTCACTTCCGTGTCCTCCTCTTGTGATTATAGTTACTGCCGAGGCTTCTGCTGTTTGCAGAGCCTTGGCAAGAACCGCCGTCCTGAGTACTCGCGTCCCAAAACCATAACCCATTACCCCTACCCCGTAGTCTTGACCCTAAACACGAACTCCTAATCCTTCATCCGAACCCCTAACCCTCATCCATAAACAATAGTCCCTAACCCTTAATCCTAAACCCCACACGAGAGCCAAAGTAGCGGTGTCCCTTCATATTTCATTAATTGCAAAGGACCGCTGACGGGTAAGGGCAATGCAAGGGAAGTTTGTAATTGGATGAAACTCTGGTGTACGTTTTGTGTAAAGTAAAATATGTAAGGACTGTTGTCACTCCCTGCGAGGTGTTCGCTGTTTTCCCGCTGCTCGCGCCGCACAAGAGCACGGAGTCCGGTGTGCGCACCTGAGTGAGCGGTGCGGTTTGATCATCGGTGGAGGAGGCCGGAGGTGGTTCAGGCATTCGAGCGCTGAGCCGGCACCTCTGAGGTCCTGGGTTCAAATCGGGATGTTGGCCACCTGTCATTAATCCGGGTTCTCAGCTGTGGCAGGTTGATGATGTCAGCTCAGACACTAATGACTGCTTTAAAAGACACAGTGTTGTTTTAAGCTACATTTTGGAATATACCATCTCCTCTTCTTAAAACATTTAAAGGTTTAATTGGCATGTGGCAAACATTTTTCTCTCTGGCGGTGCATTTAAAAATGTGCAATGGCAACAGTAGGGTGCAGCAGATAAAATATCTCACTTGAAGGAATCTCTGGAGGAGTTGTGTGATATCTTTTCCATGGCCCGTTCCTGAGCACAACGGGCGATTCACTGCTCTGCGAGCGTCCGCAACGGATACTCTATCTAATGGCATTATGCCGAATCATGGCATGCGACATTAGGATTAGAATTGAAAAAAGACAAAATACAAATGTGAATTGGTGATATCCTCTGCAATTAGGTGAGATCCCTTTTGGGATAACATACTCCGTGTCTCGTGTGAATGTGACTGCTTCCCAGCCTCTTTCCTCCTAGCCATCGAGCTCTCTTCAGTTTTTCCAAGCCAAGGCCTCGCCTGGCCGGGCTTATCCTGTTCTGCTGTGAACGGTTGCACTACAATGATCGCGATTTAGATTTGTGCAGCATCTAACCGTTACTGCGTCTCAAGATGCTGCATGGAATAGTGGCACTTGTGAAAAAGCGGAACCAGAGTGGGGGGAAAAAGGGGAAAAAAAATTAGGGGAGTATGTGGCTACAGGTTCATTAAGGAGATGGTGCTACAGAAAGGTGCATTTACAAACGTTTCAAAGATAAGACACAGTAATGGGGAGTGGAGGAAATACAGGGTGACCCCGTTTATAAATATCCCACTGATTCCACTGACCGTCTTTCTTCTTAAAAAGAGATTGCGAAAACCATGGGTCTATATCTTACAGGGGAGAGTGTTAATACATTTAATAGGTAATGCGATCGGTTTGGTGACGTGTAGAGGCTTTGAGCTGAAGTGTTGTTTTCTCTCATTTTTCCATGTTATTTTAGTGGGGCATTTATAAATGGACCGTACCGTATTCTTTGCCAGTGTGGTGTTTGTGTGCCATGTTGCCGGTGTTCCTAGCTGATGTAGTTTCTCGCACAGCTTACACTACTTTTCAGTGAAAAACTCGTTGTTCTGCGTGACTGGGTGACTGCCTATAACTTTCACGTCCACCCCATTCGCGGTCATCAATAGATTGAGGCTAGAATGTGCCTTGTCTGTCCATTAAGCTCCGAGTTGGAGTCTGTAAAAGCCGCGGTGTTTGGCCCTGCACTGGCACAACCGCTGAGCCAAGCTCTGTCCACAAATGATACGGCGCCTCCTCAATGGGGATGAGTCGCCGGCTAATAAACGCGAGCCGACTTCCGCCTCGCGCCCTGAGTCAGCGCGTGGACGGCCGGCGCGCGGGCCTCTCCTCCCACGGCTGGACTTCACCTCTGGCGATACACCGCCGCTTGCGCTAGGGACAGCTGTAACTTGCGTCAAGCGCATGTGTGTGTGTGTGATCGACTCTCGGCGTGACTGTGCCGTCGTCTGCCTTCGGCCCCTCCGTGTGAGCGGGACGACGGTGGAAGCGGTTTATTTAATCGGCGCGGTGTGGAAATGGGTTTGATTGGGTGCTGTTTACACCTTGGTGGCGCGAGATGACTGCGATCCCGAGCTTTGGAGGCACGGGTGGCAGGCTACGTGATGGCGAGGAAATGGCACTGCAGTAAGAGTGTTCGTGAATCCATCTGTGCAGATCTTTGAGTGATATGCCCCCACATGCGTGAGTTTCTCCAGGTCTAACCATTCGCTCGCACCCCTCCTTGGCAATTCAAAGAAATGTCACCAGTCAGGGTCACAATCGGATTAATTATTCATTTTTATGTTGACCCTTGACTGGGTTGTGACATCCTTACCTCTTTAAAAAATCCTTTGTCTTAATTTTATCTAAAATCGTGCTCTTGGCGTTAAGTTGTGAAACAAAGCCAATTATTGCAGAGCAGTGCATCATTGTTGGATAACAACCCGGGGAAGGAGATATCACAACTACTTCTGAGATCCCTGCAAAGTAACCTCTAATCCTCACAATATGGCCTGCTGTACTTTTCCGCAGGCCTTGCTGTATATAAATATTCGTCGTATGGCACTCGAACCAATTTAACTATCAGCACAGGAATTTAGCCAAGCGACAACATTTTTTTATTATGATGACGGTTTTTTTGTTTTGTCATTGGTGATTGGTCTGAGACCATTCACCCAATACACTGGTCATCACAAACCCAGGATCTCATAATTTGCTGGCCTCACTGCTTTAATGCCTTATCCACCCGGCCACCTTTCAACATATGGCCTTCTGACCGTGAATCAGGATATCTAAGCACTGCCAATATTAATCAGAATCAATTATTGTATAACATTTATATGTATTTATCCAGGAAACCTGCTCCGAGTCTCGATACTTTCGGAAGGGTCCTCACATTGGGACTTCTGACAAATTCCCTTTTGAAGGAATGTTTGCGTGGGGGAGGGAGCCGGAGTATGAAACCCATCTCGCACGCACGAGTGGATGAATAGTCAGAGGTGTGCACAGACGTGTTGACTACCCACCTGCTGTGTTGCCGCCATCTCCTGGTCACCTCGCTGCCCGGTGGGATTTGGCGTTTCTCAAATAGCAGCGCGATCCGCCAACTCTTGCCTCCGAAGTGTTGGACCACCGGTGCGCACTACCGCATGTGGCCGAGGTGTGATTTGAGGGATGTGCTGGAGAGACGTTATCACCCACAATCCGCTCACTTGAGATAACCGATTCTGGCTTATTTGGAATACTTGACAATCCTTGACTTTGATAGTTTTTCTTGTATCGTCTCCACCGCAATGAACATAATTCACTTCATCCGTTCAATAATACTTGTCAGCATCGTCAGACCCTTAACTGTAGGGATCGTGGGGACGCCAATGCGGCATTCAGCTCTTTTAGCTCGTACATCTCGTGGTCTCTTGCGATCTGCACGACGTCTGCTGCTGATCTCCATGTCCAAGACGCTTCTTTCGTTGCCCAGCTGCGCCTTGGGCGACCTCTCCTCCTCGTCCCTTCCACCAGGCCCTGCAGGATGACACGGGAAAATGTCATCCTGGTCTTGGAGTGACACCGCCAAACAATCGCATCTTCCTCTTTGTTAGCGCTAGTCGCAGGTCGTGTACCCCGCTATTTTTAGTCACCTCCGCATGAATCAACTCACTGATTGGACCTACTATCAACAAATCCTCCGCTGTGAACACCGAGCTTTTGTGGATGATTGAGTTTTTTTTACCTCCCTCGCTCGTACCAAACGCGCGTCCTTTTCCAACGACTCGCCGGTGGCCGAGGCAGCCGTTGAGTGCGGCGCCTGCCTTTTTCACAAGCGGCCTCCGCGTTTTGTGCGATGGTGCGGTCGCTGCCCCCTCACCACCCTCCCCGTGCCACCGCTGCGTGTCCGCAGGCATGGTGCTCGTGCAGAAGGAAGGCCACCTCATCCTTCTGCCCCACTCGGCACTGCAGCAGCTGAGGCCGGCGACTCCCGGAGCCGCGCCTCAGTTTCGTCTCCCGCCCATTCACCAGGTGAGGGCCCCCCCTGGCCGTTCTTACGTCCCCTTGCGTGCGAGGAGGCCGTCCAGGCGCGGACCTGGCGCGGTGGCGCACGCCCGCCTGCGATCCCAGCACAAGGAAAGCAAGGGATGCATGTACAGTAAACCTTGGATTGCGAGTAACTTGGTCTGCGAGTGTTTTGCAAGACGAGCAAAAATTTTAAATAAATATTAATTTGATAAACGAGCGAGGGTCTTGCATTACGAGTAGTACATATACGCTTTGTCTGCCGAGCGTCACGTGATCACGACTGATATACGAGTGCTTTGATATACGAGTGCTTTGAATTACAAAGACGTTTCCGGAACGAATTATGCTCGCAATCCAAGGTTTTACTGTATGTACGTTGGAACTCCTTTCGCACCGTTCCTAGCCAACCGTGCTCATCGGAGGTGCTGGGAAGGGTTGGTGTCTTGGGTGCGCGACTCCCAACTTGCTGGGCTGTCAGGGCGCCAGGAGGTGGCAGAACAGTAAACGGGTTGCTGCTGACCGACCTGGGTATGCCATGTCCCACCAACTACCCCCCACCCCTCTCTCATCGCCCTCTCTCCCAGCAGCCCCCCGGGACGCACGTGATTGCGAGGAGCGTGGCCCCCACCATCATCAAGCAGATCTCACCAGGCCAGACCGTTGCCTCCACACAGCCCACGCCGCTGCAGGTAACGTGGGCCTGCCCACCGGCCACCGTGAGGCCCGCTCACAGGGCCCATGATCCGCCCTGAGTGCGCACGGTAAAGGACGAAGGGCGACCGGTTGTAAGTCGCCTCGTTTCGTCGAGCAGTTTGATTAACCGTTGTATCTTTTATCCTCTCGTTTGTTCAGTTTTGTTTGCTTTATGAGCCTAGATGTAATGTGAGCGAATCATTTGCATACATTTATACAGATTCTGCGGAGCACAACTAAACGTGCGTATCTTGAGCATAAAAATCGGTTTTGTTCAATGCACCGTTTTGTGCCTCGTTGGACGTAGCTTGTGTCCGGCTGTCACTGTGCCGGATCTCCGTTTGCTCCGTGCATATTTTGTGGTGGTTTTTGCGCGCGTCACCGCCCTCTCGCTTACGTTGCGCCACCGCTTGTCGCGAGCAGCCTCAGCAGCCGGTCTCCGTGGCGCCCACCACCATGGCGACGTCGACCGCGACGGCGCCGGCCCACCGGCCTCCCGTGCCGGTCCAGGCCAAGGTCATCCAACCGCCGACGGTCATCTCGGCACCGCCCGCCGCCGCCACCTTCAGCACCGCGACGCTCACGCGACCGCCGACCCCGACAACTCCTGTGAGCACCAGCAGCGCGTGCTGGCGCCACCAGTAGCGCGTTAGACGATTTGTGTACGCCGGCGGGGTGCGTACGGCACGGCGAGCACGCGTGCCCACGCTCAGTTTGCCATTATTTTTTCATCATTTTGATGCCGTCAAAAATGTTCCCATAGATGTCACGCAAAATTTATTGCACCAGCCACACGCGACGTGTCAGGTTTTTCGACGAGGCCCCTTCACAAAATTGTTTTTCCCTTTAACCGTAGGCTCTATTTGGTGAAGATGTATGCATAGAGTGTGGTCAATTACACACACACACACAGACAAAAGACATTCGCAGTTCATCACGGGTACGGGAACCCGAGCGCAGAGAGAGCTTGAGGCTGCCACCGAGTGCCTGCCCCTACCTGTGTAGGCACAACAAGGGAAGAAGAGGATCCTCAGCTGGCTATGTTTTTTTTTTCTCCGAACGTTGCAACGCAGAGCGAGGCCTCCCCCTGCTGTTTGCCGGGGAGAAGCGCGCGGGCGCACGCTGCCGCTCACGTGGCGGGCATGTTTACGTTTTTGAATCGCCCGCCCCCGCAGCCGGCGCGCCCACGCTCTCGCGCCGCGCGCGGTTTTAATAACGCATGCCGTGATTGGGACTTGATGCCCGCGGTCGAGAGACCTCAAGTTGGCGGCATTCGCGGTTCACTCGGAACCAATTGGTGCATAAACACGTGTACTTCGCTTAAACCAGAGAGAGCCGGTTGAGAAGAAAAGTCTCCTTCGTAAAAGTGAGATACGTGGATCACGGGCAATACAGGTATATACGGGAACAAACGGTAGAATGCCATCGCAAAAACCTCGCATCAATAACAACATATTAAACAAATAACAATAAAGCAGGTGAAGTGTGAAGTTAATAAAGACCAATGATTCCAGTATTGTAGCTTTAAGTGTAGGGCAGAAAGGTCCTTCAGCTACGTTTTAGCCGTTGCGATCGTTAACGGCTCCATCTTCCGCAGGTCATGGTGACGAGCGCAGGGTCGATCCGACCTTTGACCTCACCCACGACAGTGGCCATCACGGCGGCGCTGCCGGGCGGCGGCGCCGTGAGAGCCGCTGCCCCAACGCTCGTCATGACGCCGGTGGGTCCTGTGCCACCACCGGGGGTTGACGGTGGTCGTGTCGGAGGTGCCGGTGCTGGTAGTTGTGCTGAGAGGTGGTTTAGTGGGTGTAGTGGTGGGTGTTGTGGTGGTGTTATGTGCGTGTATGTCTGTGTGTTTGTCTTTGTTTTGTGTGACTCAATTTCGAATTTGGCTCACAGCCAACATCGGTGACTGATATCTGAACTGGTCCTGGGCCTCCCCTAGATCCTGGGCCTCCCCTAGATGCCGTAAATGAGTGTAAATTAGTGCAGTCTGTAAACATCAGCACTGGGGATACAAAGACGGCCGGGCGTGGTTCTGGCCACACCACCCCTCGTGGGCTCTGCCGGCCTAAATAGGTCCTCGCTAACAGCACTTGCCGCAACGGCCTGTGTAGTCTATACGGAGAATCTTTATCTTTTGTGTATCTATGTGCAGGGCGTTGTGATTAGAGTAATCGTGCAATGAGCCAACATCAGTGATGAGTAATGTATGAAGCGATCCTGGGCCATTCCTGAGGTTACCACGTGTAAACTTCAGCACTGGAGGCTGCTGGGCATGGTTCTCACCACACCACCCACTCGTGTGACATGCTGGCCTCTTGTGCCACTGTTGCTAATTTTGGCAATTGTTGAAATTAGTGGTTGTGTTGGTCATCCCAGTCAGTCAACCCATAGCACCTGGTATTGTACAGTGACCTCCTGTGAGACAGCCTTCGGCACTTCGCTCGACCTCAAAGTGCACCTAGCCTGGCACAAGCGCCGTGGTGACGTCACCGCCGCTTACTGGCGAACGGCGGTTGTTGTTGTCGGTGCTGGCAGTGGTCTCGGCAGATAAACGAAAGTGCAGGGCACCTCTGTCTTGGTGGCATCACGGCGCCAAGTCAATGCTGTGCAGCGGCGTTCTCCTCTGCCTGGCGCTAACGCTCGCCCTGTGTCGCTGCCCAGGAGCTGATGGAGAACGTGAAGAAGTGCAAGAACTTCCTGTCGACGCTGGTGAAGCTGGCATCCACGGGGCAGCAGTCGCCCGAGACAGCGCACAACGTGAAGGACCTCGTGCAGAGCTTGCTTGTGAGTGGCGCTCGCTTACCCCTGCGCTTCCCTCTGCTCCAACCGCCGTTCTCTCTGATGCTGTCCAGCAAGGTTCAAAGTGTTAACCCTCGCGAAGATGATCCAATATGAGTGAAATGTTACTGTAAAGTCGTACCTCCTCCTCCCGATGACATCGTTATGGGTGACAAGAGCTGACGCGAGCCAATGAGCGAGCGAGCAAATGAGCGAGCAAACGGGCATGGTCGTGTTGTCTGACGATGTCTGACGGTGTCTGACGGTGTCGCCGTGATCGTTGCCGACAGGACGGGAAGATTGAGCCAGAGGAGTTCACCAGCCGGCTGCAGAAAGAGCTCAAGTCGTCCCCACAGCCCTACCTGGTGCCTTTCCTCAAGGTGACCCACGCTCTCTTCCCCCCGCAAATGCTCTCGCATCTCCCTCATATATATAGATGCACACACACATATATACACGCACACACATAAATATGTTCACGTATGTTTTATGGACGTATTCATGAATTCTAGAATCATTTGGTTAATCCGAAAAGCGAATTCCAAATACATTTCGGATTGAGCTAAAATGTGAAGTCGATGGAAGTGACGTCACGTCCATGTGTTTTTTTTTCCACCAAAAATACCATTGCGTAAAATCACTTTTGCTTAAACTATATATTTTTTACATTGAATCCACAAACAATGAAAGTTAATAAGCCTAATTTATTTTAATATTAAAATACTACATCTAAACTGAAATTGGTCGTAAAAATACCAAAATAAAACATGTCACGGCCCAGCCACACAACCTGTGGTTGCTTGCCTCACCGCTGCTGCTCGGGTGTGCGTGCGTGAGCGCAGAAGAGCCTACCAGCGCTGCGGCAGATGAACAAGAATCTGCAGACCTTCCCGGCGGCCACCTCCTCATCCAGCGCGCCGGTGCCCAGCATCTCCCTCTCGACCATACGGCCTACGCTCGCCACCGGCACCGGCCTGGTGAGGGCATCTCCGCTTGCCTCCCACACCGCTCAAACTCCCACTCCGCTTGCCTCCCACTCCACTCCAGTCTTGCCTCCCACTCTTCTCGTCTTCCACTCCGCTCGCCTCCCACTCCACTCCAGCCTTGCCTCCAACTCTTCTCGTCTCCCACTTTTCTCGTCTCCCACTCCGCTCCCCTCCCACTCCACTTTGCACTTACATGGGGGGGCGGTGAGGTGGGAGTAGCAGAGTTGGAATCTCGAACTAAACATCTTCTTTGGTTCTTTCGGTAAAGTCACGTAGAATGAGAATAAAATAATAAATTGATAAAATAAAATAACACAATAATATTCTGTCTGGAGGACAGCGCTGTCCTCCAGACAGTCTCGTCCCTTCACCTGATGAAGGCCGCTTGTGTTGTGGCCGAAACGTCGTGAGAATATTATTGTGTTATTTTATTTTATCAATTTATTAATTTATTCTCATTCTACGTGACTTTACCGAAAGAACCAAAGAAGATTAATCCTTGCAGTCACGAAAGCTTTAAATCGAAATCGAACTAAACATTTTAAAGGTGTAATGGGGCTGCGGCGGCAGTGTTTTACCCGTAGGGGGTGCCGCAGGCATGAGGGCGACACGAGTTCAATTGCTGGCCACGGCTGACAGCGGTGGTGATATCTGAACTGGTCCTGGGCCTCTTCTAGGCTGCCTCAGCCTTCAATCATCATGTGGGCGCAAATGTGTAAAATCACCAGCGCTGGAGAGACTGAGGACGCCCCGGCGCAGTGCCGCTAGCCTCACCACCCCCTCGGGTGCCGTGCCAGCCTTCGTGGCGCTCGCTGCCAGCACGTGGCCCAGCGACTTGTTAAAGACTGCACGGGGGATCTGTGGCCTGTGGTGTGTGCTCATGGGAGTGATGGTGGGACTGGAGTTGTTGCTGGTGCTGCCGGCGATTAGGGGTTGTGCTGGCGATTGCCAGAGTGGCGGCGCCAGTTGCTTGCCAGCGTTGGTGGAGTTGCCGATGGTGCTTGTGTTGTGTGCCCGGCCGCAGGGCGTGACAACGCACACGGTGACGTCGCAGCAGCAGCAGCAGCAGTTGCGGATGAAGCAGTTGCAGGCGCTGTCGGGCGCCCAGGGAACCGTGCTCACCCGTCCCACCACCTCCATCGGCCACATGCGGCACATACAGCCAGGTGCGCGGTTAGCCTAGTCACGCACACAGAGAGGTGTGCTGTCTGCTACAGCTAGGTATTGAATTCCTTTATCTTACTCAGCCAGGTGTGTGGTCACTGAGCTACAGACAGGCGGACTCTCCGTTGTCCACACACAGGCGGACGTGGGTTGACCAATTACATAAATCCAAGGTACACCGTATCACACGCAGCCAGGTGCGTGCTGTCCCTCCACGGCACACAGCCAGCCGAGGGCTCCCATGACCAGGGACAGCTGAGACAACTCGCCCTTTGCCACTCTTCCTCACACGGGGTCGCTGTCTGCCACAGTTGACTGTGATGCAGTCGCTCCTTGCCCCATTCAACCTGCAGTGTCGCTGAAGAGGAGGTGGAGGGGGGTGGAGGTGGGGGGGAGGAGGATGTGGAGGGGGGGAGCTCACACTGCTGGGTTGAGCTGCCGCCAAGTATTTCTTACTGAATATATTTTGATAATTATATAATTATTGTTGTTATTAGACTGGAGTAGGAGTTACATGACAAGCCATAGCGAGCCGTATACTGAATGTGGTGATGCCGGGTGTGGAAAATTCCTTCTTGTTGACCCGGACTGGGTGGACCCGGCTGAAGCGGTAGGGTGGTGCAGTGTTAACGCTCATGCCTCACAGCAGTCAGGGCCTGGGTTCTACTCCCGACTCGGACGCCGTTCTGTGTGAAGTCTGATTGTGCTCCCCCTGTTCTGCATGGGTTTCCTCCAGGTTCTCAGCTTGACTTCCGTTGGTAAAAAATGAAAGACGCATTGTTTACTGCAATTGGCCCAAACGTACCAATGGTGAAAACATTGACCTGAAAATGACTCGATAGGGATCACACAGCAGCAGCAACATCGACCCGTAATGAGAAAACAACTTCGTAGGACCCTCCTGAGAAAATCGTCTTGAGACTCGGTGAGACTTTCCAGGGGAAACTCGCGTCGTAGTAGGAGTAATGATAAACAATGCACCCCCGGGCCCTGTCCTACCACGATTTGGCACGGCATCGATCTCGCGACGCCCAGCGCACTCCCGAGCCCCGCCAGCAGGGGAGGCTGTCGCTGCGGCGATCGCGACATCTCGAGCGGGGTGGGGGGACGGAGGCGCGTTGCCACCCAGGGAGCTCGCTCTTCGTCCATCATCGCATCGTTTGTTTGCCAAAATACCACTCTCGTAATAATCGTTGCTCTTTGTTTCCCCTTCATATTTTATCGCTGGATAAAGTAGACATTACATTTTTGGTTTGTTATTTCGCTTGTTCACTCATGAAAGCCTCACCGAGTCTCAGGGCCCTTTTTCAAGAGGGTCCTGCCAAGTTCTATCAGGAGGGGGGTGATGATGCTCCTGCTGTGTGGGACCCCAATTGAGTAATTTGCAGGTAATGTTTAAAAATTCGGATGTTAGTGCCAGTGACATTGTTTATGTAAAAATAAGCATGGGGAAGAAACCGTGTGTTCTCCCTCTCAGGACAGTGGGAGAACATACAAGCTCCGCAGTATCACACAGTCACACTCTCGTTCGCACTTGCTCACCGGTACGCTGCACAACTGGGGGAGGTCACACACACACATCCAGAGGTGCCCGAATCAGGAATAGAACCCAGGCGCTTCTAGCTGTGAGGCACGAGAGTTACCACTGCGCCACCCTGCCCGTCCACAATAATTAAAGTTCGACATAATTGGCTCTTTCCAAGTCATTAATTGCTATGCAAAATGTTTTCAGCAATAATTGACGGCACAGTGGTGGTTATATGGCCTCGTTTGTTTCCACAGTTCAAGTGATTAGTTCATTATCGTGCCACTGACGGTGCGTGGATTGTACGCAATAATAATTACAGCTTTACAACCGATCAGGCTTACTAAGTTCCTGATTAAAATTCTTATGGCTCTGGCTTATGTAGAGTGAACTGCAGTTGCAGAACTCTTATGAAGTGATCTTTATTTATATTGGAAGTACAGCAAGGCATAATAACAATTGACATATTGTGAAATACAATGAACAGGCTTATGGGAGACTGACGTCGTGACGACCGGAGAGTCGTATTACGGCACTCCCAATTGTCATCGTCTCTTCCGCTTGTGTTTAATGCCCCACATCGCTCGCTCGTTAGTCGGCTAAATCGGCAGTGTGTGCCCGGTGTGGTACGGGGCTGTGTGATGTGCTGTGGTACGGGCGGTGTGTGGCGCGGTTTCGTGCGGTTTCGTGCGGTTTCGTGTGTTGCGATGTGGTGCGGTTTGCCGAGTTTGCGATGTTTGGCGGTGTGCTTTGGCGCGGTGTGCTTTGGTGCGGTGTTTGTGCGGTCTGGTGTGGTGTCGCAGGCATGGCGGTGAGATTTGGGGCGGTGAGCGGCAAGGGCCCGGCAGTCGGCCTCTCTACCGGCGCCCTCGCGACCTCCACCAGCCACACGGCCTCCACGGCACAGAAGGGGAAGTTCAAGGACGCGGGCGGGGGCACCTTCAAGTGAGTTCCCCTTGACCCTCGGGCACCACAAGCACTCACACTCTCCCGAAGACAAAGATCCCCCGTATAGCCGCAATAGACTGCTGGGGCAAGTGCTGTTAACGAGCACCTATGAAGTCCGGCACGGTCCACGTGGGGGTGTTATGGCCAGCGCCACACCTGGCCGCCTTTGTCGCCCCAGTTGCAATGTTAGTACACCGCACCAGGTACTCGGTTCAGGCTGAGTCGACCACTTACACACACACGCACACTCGCACTTGAGATCACACACCGCACCAGCTCACAGGGAGGGCTTTTACCCTGGAAGCACTGCACTCGTGGATGGGCCATACACTTAGAGCACCGCTGTCGCCGTGCGCAGGGACGACGATGACATCAACGACGTGGCGTCGATGGCCGGGGTCAACATTAACGAGGAGAGCGCGCACATCGCGGCCACGGGCTCCGATACGGTCGGCACGCAGATCCGCTCGTGCCGCGACGAGGCCTTCCTCTCCGGCACACCGCTGCTGGCACGCATGCAGGACATTGGTACGCTCGCTCATACACGCTCGCTCACTCACTCGCTCACTCACTCGTCCATCATTCACCTGCTTGCACGTTCATTCACTCGCGCTTTTTTTCCACTCACCCGCCTGTCCCATCACTCGTGGGTTCATTCACTCGCCGGCCCGCCCGCTCTCTCACTCGGACACGTACAGGATAGAAGGCTGCTTCAACTGAAGTGAGCACAAGCAACCGTGGGGTCTGGTGGGCAGGGCGGGCTCCTTTGACACGGTGCTGGCCGCACGCGAGCACGTTTCCACAGTCCACGTGAACCGCTCTGGCGGTTCCCGCAATCCTTCAATAAGTTAAGGCCTCCCCACTCCATGTTGCTGCTGAGGGGTTTTGTCTGATAATGTGGGTTGGTGATTGGGGGCAGGAGGTGGGGGGGGTGCAGGGTGGCAGGACTTTTTGTGATGTCACTCGCCACGGATGTAGAGTGGTGGTGCGGTGGTTGAATTCAGCGCCTCCCCCCCCCCCCCCCCAACTGGTTAATTTATTTCAAGAGACCGTCCGCCACGAGCTGAAGTGACTTCTGATGGTGGCCAGCGCTGCAGGGGGAGAGGGGGCTGCGGGGTAAACAGGACATTTGTTCATGGCCCACAACTCAAGAGAATCCTACGGCAAAAAAAATCCTGATTTTTGTTCCCGAAATTCAGATTACTTGTTGCTCGCGAACAACGCTTGCCATGACAATCTGCGGCAGCGCTGGGGGGGGGGGACCCATCTTAGGAACGGGAGGGTGGGCGTCTCTTCTGCAACGGTGTCCCTCCCAGGATAGCAAAGACACCTGAGGCTTGGTTTGACCTGTTCCACCTGAGGCTTGGTTTGGCCTGTTCGTGTCGCGACACCACGCCGAGCGTGCGTGCAGTGGCTAGACGCTTGTTTTTCCTGAAGCGATCCAAGGGCACGCGCGTCGTGCGTGAGTGCGGACGGTGCGATCTCACCGCGGACAACAGAGGATGCCGCTGCCACTGCAGCTACAGCGGCAACAAGCGAGACACGTTTGGCTGAGACGCCTTTTTGGGGGGGAAGCCCCCCGACCCCCCCCTCGTCCCGCCGCACTCCCCCTCCACCGCCCCCCCCTCCGTACAGCCTCTGAGCCCCCCTTCTTTGCCGTGAAGGAAAACGTCCGTTATTAGCTCATAAAAAAGATGGTTGTGGGGGTGGGGGGGCAGTGGTGATAATAATAAAAAATCTATCGAGGTATAATTGGGATCTCTGCTGGAGAGGGAGAGAGGCGAGGAGGGAGCGAGTGAGCCCTCTTTGGAACGGTGAGCGATGCCCACGGGCAAAACCGGGCAACCAGCTGTCTGCGAGACAAACCCGCGCGCCTTTGTTCCACTCATCAGCCGCGGGGTCCGGCGTAACCTCCAACACCCCCCCCCCCTCGCTCCCTCACTTCATATCTTCCGCTCCTCACACCTCCCCGTGCCGCCCCCCCACCCAGTCCGACACAAATCCCTCTCCTTCACACCTCCAATTCCAATTATTTTTTTATTGTTTAATCTCTTTTTTTACTTTTCCTCCTCCCCCCTCCACTCTTCTTCTCCACGCTTGGTTTTAACGACCGCGGCCGCTGCCACGCGTGCCAGGCGGCCGTGGCGATCGCTGTTTGCGCATCGTCTTCGCGTCGCGACCAACCCGCCCCAACCTCGTCCCGCCGCGTCGCTCGCTCGTGGCGGTGTTGGGGGGGGGAGCGCTGCCGGCGCCTGGCGGCTCCGACGTTTGAGCTTCCCGGACCCACAGGGCGGTGATCGCCATCTCATTTTAATATTTTACTTTCCGCACGATGCTTCCGTCACGTCAGGGCGAGCGCATTGGACTTGCCATCCAGAGGTCATCGGGTTTAATTCTCCCGGCACAGCAGTTGAAATACATTTATTAAATGCCCCTGCTTCTGTCCACCCCGCAGTGTAAGTGGGCACGCCGCTGTCAGTCGCTGTACCCGTTTATAGCGATACAGCTACTGACACACTTGTGCCCGTTTATAACAACGGGTACAAGTGTGCATGCTCCTCCTACTTGTTCCAGGACGCATGGCAGACATGGACGTCTAGAGGCCAAATGCCCTCCAGACGGGTTCTCTAGCACTATCCCCAGTGGAGGCCCTTCCACCTACCTTGGCGTGAGCAAGCAGTTGCAGGACCTGCACCTTTGCCTTTTTACCTTCTTATTCTATGGTTCTTTCGGTAAAGTCACGTAGATAGAAAAAATAATAACAATTAAATAATAAAATTTTAAATTTTAATAAAGTGAATAAAAAATAATAAAAATATCACGACATTTCAATCGCTTGTGTTGCGATCGAAACGTCGTGATATTTGTAGTATTTGTTATTAACATTATTTTTATTTTGTTATTGTTTTTTCTTCTGTGTATGTAACTTTACAGAAAGAACCATAGAATATTAATTGCTGCAGTCACGAAAGTTTTAAATCAAATTTGTACCTTCTCTTACATGCGCGGACACGCACACACACACGAGCGAGCGAGCGTATAAATAGGCAGCTACGATTTTTTTTGTCTCTGTTTTTATGTCTTTCTCTCCTTTTCTCCTCTCGGACGTTTGAGTGTCAGAGCGCCGCGCCGATGAAATGGGGCCTTGATTAGCGGAACCGTCTCGTGGCCGTCTTGATGTTTGACACGCCGCCTCTTTTTATGTCCCGGCTCATTTTCATTCTCACTCTCCGCCGCTCGGCCGCCAGCAAAACACTCTGATATAAAATGCAAGGCCTGGATTTGGACTCATTTGTGCCGTGCACGCGTGTGTGTGTGCGCACGAACGTGACTGTGTGTATGTCCTAGCCTGTGTGTGTGTTTCAATTCCTCTTTTGTTTCCCATTTATATATTCTCCCCGTTTTTCCTGCGACCTCGTGCGCACACCTGCCGCCCGCCACTGCGCTCTCCTCTGCCGTTAAGCGGAACGCCCAAACGCGCCCGCGAGTCGAGGCGTTAAATCTCTCCGCCGACGCGTTCGCTCATCACGTTTAAGCGAGTCAGAAACATGATTACCGCTTTGCCAGGCGCGCAAGCGTGCTCGCACGTGCCGTCGCCGCCACCGCCAGCGTGTGGTGGCGAGCCTCCTTCCCAGCAGGCCTTGCGGCTTCCTGCCCCTTGGCGGAAAGTGTTGCCTTCGTGCCCTGGGGGTTGCCACCTCCGAGGTGCAAAATAAACGGGACATGTCAGGGGAAGGAGAAGAGGGGAGAACTAGATGAACCATATGTTGTTATCTTTGGGTGGTTTATTATTATCACAACTGATATAAAAAAAATAACAGAAATTTGTTCCAGGAAGACTCTTCTCAGATCTACCTCAAAAAGAGGTTGATCCTGAGAAAACCAGGACAGGCGGCAAGCCTATTTACCCCAACGCGTGGGCTTCCACTAGGTCATCGCTCTCCCACCTCTCCCCTCTTCTCACTCCCCTCCACCCCACACCTGTACACCTTTATAGGTGCTCGCTAATAGCACTTGCCCCAACGGTATGTTAAGGCTGCACGGGGGATCTATGTCTTCGTGTGCCGCAGCCAAGCGGCACGGTGTGAGCGAGGTGCCGGCGGACGCAGTGAGCCTGATGTCGCACGCCGCCCAGGAGCGGCTGCGTGGCGTCATCGAGAAGCTGACGGTCATCGCGCAGCACCGGCTCGAGAACATGAAGGTACGAACTCCCGCGCTCGTCCCCCTCGGCCCGCCCGCTCGCCTCCCTCTGGCAGCCATCGCGACTGTGCGGCCCCGACCCCGAGTCCAACCCTAACGCCGCGCGCTCCCTTCCCCTGCAGGAGGAAGAGCGGTACGAGCAGACGAACGACGCTCGCTCGCAGCTCAAGTTCTTCGAGCAGCTCGACCGCCTGGAGAAGCAGCGCAAGGACGAGCAGGAGCGCGAGATCCTGCTGCGAGCAGCCAAGGTGTGGCCCCGCCCCCTCTCACCACAAGCAGCCTGCATCCACTGCACAATCCCCTCTACAAACACTGCACGACCACACTGTAGCACCTGGACAAGCACCGCACAAACCACGCCACGACCACCCCACAGTTGCCGCGCAAATGCCCCACAGCCATCGCCTAAGTACCCACAGTCGCCACGGACGCGGCAGTGAGCGCGGCGCTGCGGTCACACAGACGTGACCACGCCCCAACAGAAGGCCCACGGCTCGTGTACCGCTCGCGTGGCATTGCGATTCACCCCCAGCGATTCGGGGGGATCGCCACACTTTTGGGTTGCGTCGCGATCGTGCGCGGCCTGTCGTTCACGTGTCGTTTGCAGTCGACGGATCGTGCATGTTTACGCGCCAGGCCTTGACTCGTGCAGGAGAGTAAATTCATGGTTTGTGCACACCGTGCAAATTGAACCTCCGGCGTGACAGTTTGGCGACACGGCGAAAACGTTCCCAGCGCCAGCCCCCGTCGACGCGCGTCACCGTCGTTGAGTTCTATCGCTCGCCCACTCGGAGAGAACCGCCACGCTGGCCTTGTGGCCCGCCATGGACCCCGTGGCACATGGGCCCAGCGATCCCGAGCCTCGCCACCAGGGGGCCGAGGAGGCCCGGCCCACCGTCCACTATTTTTCCGAAACGGTGATGAAAGTCTTCACCGGTGAAGTGTTTTACATGGATGGAAGGAATTCACGGCCCGTGACGATGGTTGTGACTGCACGGCTGCCCACCGGAGACCAAAGCGCAACGGCCTGACGAGACGCAGCGAACGAGTGTGAGCAAAGACGCACATTGCAGTCGTTTAGTGATGGTCATTAGAAACAATATTGCACTGAGGAAGTCCAAACATGGTAATTAGCCACTTATGTATATAGACACATTTACCGAGTTCACCAATTGGCTGAGCTGATGATATTGGGGAAATGGGGGGGGGGTGCAGGAGGGAGTGAATTGCACGCCTTTAATACGTAACAAAAAGCTGTCATCGGCTAGACTAAGACAACGACTAAAATTAATAATTACACCCGAACTTTCGCTGGGCCTACCTCGCCGGAAGGGACGGGGGGGCGTGCACGTAAGGGCAAGGGGGGGGGGGGTGCATACTCTTCACTAAATAAATAAAATTATGAAACCCATATTCAAATGAAATGGAACGTCGGTGTCATTAGCCATGCGTAGCCTGACCTCGCCCGGAGATTAGTTATTGAAGACGGTGTGTTTAATTCATCTGGCATGCTCGAGCCTCCGCACTTCAATGCGTGTGCTGCTGCTGCTACACATACTGCTTTTGCTGCCGCTGTTGGTACTGTTGCTACTACTGTTGCTGCTACTGTTGCTGCTACTGTTGCTACGACTACCGCCGCCACTGCCGCCGCCGCCACGGCGGCCGCTTCGGCCGCTGCGGGTCGTGCGGCCCAATGCCCGCTGGCCGGGCGCCCTCTCTGAAGTTGAGGCTCATGATTACGGCCGCCTCCGCCGCAACTTTCCACAGATCGCAGACGCCGGGAAAGCCAGGGCACATAATTTCTGCTCGGTTATTCCGAGCCCCAGGGCGTTCCTTACTTTTTAAACGACTTGGCTCGGATGTGGCCTTGAGTAATAATGCATTGAGATTTGGGGAAGAGACAACAGAGTTAATGAAAGGCTGGAAGATAAGAGGCAGAATTCGCTGCCCGGGCTTTCAAAAGAGGGTCTGTCTTTGTCTCGGCGGTTTTAAGTAAAACAGCCCGAGGGGAGGCTTTGCCCAGGGGCTGGCCTTTGCAGGCCCATCAAGATGCCTGCTTCCTCTCCGCCAACTAATTACCTTGTTTCTCTTTGGTTTCACTATACATCTCTCTCCCCCCCCCACCCACCGTTACCCCCAAACTCTGCCAACCCCCGCCCCCCACAACCCGCTCAATCCACTACCTTCCCCCTGCTCCTTCCTGCACCCCCCCCCCAACACCCATCTCCTCCCTCCAGAGCCGGTCGCGGCAAGAGGACCCGGAGCAAGCGAGGCTCAAGCAGAAAGCCAAAGAGGTGCGCTGGGAGTGCTCTCAGATGCCCGGCACAGCCCGGCCGCTGAGAGCGGAGGTTGCCTGATGACGATGTGGCTGATGTGGCTGATGTGGCTGATGTTGCTGATGTGGCTGATGTGGCTGATGTGGCTGATGTGGCTGATGTGGCTGATGTGGCTGATGTTGCTGATGTGGCTGATGTTGCTGATGTGGCTGATGTGGCTGATGTGGCTGATGTGGCTGATGTGGCTGATGTGGCTGCCGCTGCTGTACGGACTGCGGCCGGCGCGTGTCGTGTCGAGCGTCCCGTTTAATTTCTCGCCGTCGTCGCGCTTCGTCACCGCCGCTCCGTGTTCATGACAAAAGTGTGGGGGGCACCCACGAGTTAAATGACGGAGCGCAGGGGGACGGGCGGGTTAAGAGTGGGGGGAAGAGGCTGGCGATGAGGGTGAGGAGGGTGAGGAATGGTGGTGGCCATCAGCTGGCGTGAGCCGCCGCTATTTCTAGGCCCGCGTAGCCCGACAGGCGCGCGGGGTCAGCGGGGATGATGGCTGCCGGGGAAGCAGCGGCAGTCCCCCCCCCGCCCCCCCTCTCTCCTCGTGGCTCTCGGCTCCGTCTGGCTAAAGGCCCCCCCCCCACCACGACGACATCCCTCTCCACATCCCTCTTCCCCTGCCCCCCCCCCCCCCGCCTGGCCCTGCCCCCCCGCCCGGCCCCTGAGGCGTCTAATCTCCCGTGCGTGTGTCGTCGTGTTATGAATAGGAAGCAGTGCCCGGCGGCTGGCGTGCGCTTAACATATTGAAAGAGCCTGGGGGGTAAATAAACCCTCCTGCACGGCGGGCGGGCCGGGGGGGGGGGGGGGCGGTGGCGCGGGGAGGCTGGGGGGCGGGGGTGGGGGGGAGGAGTATCGTATGCAGAGCAGGGGGTTGGTGACGGGGGGGGGGGGGGGGTCGACGGTGGGGGGCGCGTTGTGATGCCCGCTTCATTAATGAATTTAGAACGGTGGAATTAAAGCTACAAAACGGGAGAAGCGCTCAGCGATCTGCGCGCGAGACCAGTTTTATGGCCGTTTCTGTTTCCTGATTGCCAGCGAATTATTCCGACGGGGTGTTTTTTTTGTCACTTGGGAAAATTTTGCGGTTGCAAAATTTACATTCAAAGGGGCCTTTGTCTTTCGTAAGGAGACGCGTGCAGGTGAGAGGTGATTGCGCGCCCGTTCCTCCTCGCACCCACCGAGACCGCACACTCACAGCTTTTATTTTTGTGTCGGTCGGTTTATTTATTTATTAAATATTCCGCCGGCTTCTCGCGACGCGTGCGAGTTTTAGTGGCGGGCGGGCGGGCTCAGCGGTCGATAGCCGGGCTCCGTCTCGCCGCCCGCGGGCGCGTGCTGCCACTAATTGGAAGTTCGTTTTGATCGAGCTTGGCTATTAGCTGCAGTCCTCCCGCAGTTACCCCTCGGGGGGTCCTCCCGCCACCCGGGCCCCCCTTTCTTCTTCCCCTCCGCGCGTGCAACAACAACAAAATCTCGGCGGGAAAACCAACGTGCGCGCGTGCTTGCGGGTAGACCTGCGTACGCGCCCACTCCATCCCCCCCCCCACCCCACCCCACCCCCCTTTTTTTGCAGGTTGGTATTTAATTTTTTATTATTTAACGAAACTGCGCGCAAAAAAAAAACGCTTTCACTTGACCCCTCCGAACGTGCTTGGCGCAAAATAAATCAGGGGAATTAGAGCTCCGGGGGGGTTGTCGGCAAGCGGGAAATGTTGGGGAGTAACGGAGGAATGCTCGCTCGCTGGCTCGCTGGCTCGCTGGGCTAACGAACATGGGCTGCGGCGAGCGCTCGGGGACCTGGCGGAGTTTAAGAGCGATCCCCGGAGAGCCACGTTCCCCCACCCCCGCAACCCCCCACCGCCGCTCTACCACCACTCCAGCCCCCCCAGCTCGCCCCTGCCCAGAAAAGATGACATTAACCGCAACCACTCCCCGCCCCGTCTCCCGGCTCACGGTGCCGCCCCAACCCTCGTGGCCGTGGCCTCTGACCCGATGCCGCTACCGTCCTGCGTCTCGCAGGGGAGGCGCTTCTCCATCTCTCGGTTGCTCCCCACTCTTCCATTTGCTCCTTCTCTCTGCCAGCTCCTCCACTCTCGCCAGTATTCCACTCACTCTCCACTGCTGCTCACCCCACACATGCTTCTCGTAAGCTCAGCCGCTCCACACTCTGTTGCTGCTCTCTCCTGCTCTCATCGCCTTGTCTCTCTGTTTGCCGTTATCTCACCCCTGATCCAGCATCGGCTTGTCGTGGCATTGCCCATAGGGCGCCGTGTCGGTTGGGGGGGGGGGGGGGGGGTTTGGGTTGGTGGATCACGGCGCCGGTGACAGCACGCCAGGATTTGGTATGCACACCTCGGCGGCGTGTTTACGACCGGGAGGCCCCACCCTGCCGTGCCGTTGCTCCGTGACTGATTGCCGGCGCCCGAACGCCTGTCGCAAATTAATGGGAGATCATTTTTAAGCACCAAATTTTAATGAGGCCGCCTGTCTGTCGAATTCATAACTTCCCCTGCGCTGGGCGGGTAATTGTAATTTAATTGTGGTGTTTAGCTCGTCTGTGCAGTTGGGGTATTCCGGGTGCGTTTAATTAAGCTCGTTTTTTTTGCCTACTGCCGCAGTTACTTATTTTATTATTTATTGCCAGGAAGACGGCAGCGTCGTGTTTGCCCCAGCGCATTTCTCCGCTCTGGGTCTCGTGCAATCAACCTCTGATCGCCGCATCTCTTCAATCACTTTGCCACGTAAAACTCCTCCCCTCCCTGCGCGGGACGGATTTTTGCACGCACGTATGTACTCCCGTGCGTGCGTCCAGGCCGTATCGCATCCATCTATGCGGCGTGAAAAAGTCGCCTAAACGTCGCCCGGCTTTTGGCTTATAACCGGCGTAAAAGCATCGGAGGGGGCTTTCAGTGCCTCGGGCACTTCCACCACATCCCCTCCTCTAGCCGTCACCAGTAGTGGCTTGTCTCCACCGCCGGCCATCATCATCCTGTAGCCATGCCGTCTCCTGCCCTAAGCCCATGCCTTCCTTTCCGTCTCTGCATGTCGTTTGAATTATTCTCCACTTCATGCTGCTTTTGCGCACTTTCAGCCTTTATCAGTATCCGTGTCCTCTTTTTCCATACGTCACAGCGGGTCATGCGCACTGATTGAGAGAGAGTTTTGTTTTCAGGCAGTTGCTACATTGGGTTTCCATTATGGGGCTGTAAGAAGTTAAACAACAAAGCATCTCTGGCCCTGACCTGAGCTTGAATTTTACCAGAACCTTAAACTCTACCTTTTTCCCAAGCTGCACACCTTGTCCAACCTTCACCACTCATTTGTAATTTATTTTTTTATCGGACAAATGCCCACTTGTAGGCCAGTGCTGTGTTCAACTGCATAGGGACAGCTGCCACGGGAAATGTGATGTAAAGGGGTTTTAATTGCTGAGGCATTTGAGAGGAAGCTCCCTAGAACTGCAAATTCTAATCCTTGCTCATAATTGAACCGGGTGAGAGTCAACCTGCTCTTGACGTGTCACCCGCTGTCATCTCGCTCCTTCGCCAGTCCTGTCCCTGACCTCGATGCCTAACCTGTGACCTCTGCCCCCCAACCCCCCCCCCCCCAACAGATGCAGCAGGCGGAGCTGGCGCAGATGAGGCAGAGGGACGCCAACCTCACGGCACTCGCCGCCATCGGGCCCCGCAAGAAGCGGAAGATCGACTCTCCCAGCCACGGCTCATCGGGCGAGGTGCGATACCACCCCCACCACCACTGACTACCCCCCTCATCTTAACTCCTGCCTCCGTGCCGTGGCAGTGCTTCTGACCCGCCTACCTAACCCCTCCCGGCGTTGTTCCAGTGTGTGCCAACCCGACCCCTGTCCCCACTTGATGCTCGGAGCGGTGCCAGTCCTTGCTTTCACCCATAACTAACGTGTGTGGTGCCAGTGCCGCTCCACGACCTTTCTGTACGATGCCATCCTCTCGACTCAGACCCGTATGGGCCCGTGGTGCAATAGGTTTGTTCCTGAACTCCCCACCGGACCCTGGCCGGTGGGGTCCCAACATCGCTGCCCCTTGATCCCCGACCCCCATTACCCGTGACTCCAGTATCTCCGACTCCTGGCCTGGTGCCAACGTGCGTGGTTCCCCTGTCCTCGCGATGTGCTATTCGTGCCAAATTCCCCGACCTGCTCTGGTGCAGCGCCAATCTCCCGGCCCCTCCATCCTTGACTCCCACGCCCCTCAACGCGGTGTCCACGTGCGAGCCACTCCCGGCACCAGTGCCAACTCGGGAGGATTAATACCGGTTCCCTGAGCGGCACGCATTAAGGGAGTCTTTAGGGGGTCCGACGTGGTCCGTGGGGGCTTCAAGAAGAGCCGGGAGTGCCCGAGAGGTTCACGGCGACCCCTGCAGGGAACCCGGTGCAATGGACACTGCGGGCCTGTTTTGTGGCTCTCATTTCGTACCCGGGCCGTCTGCCCCGCACCGCCCGACTCGTTAGAAGTTTCATTAATGGGAATAAATGAGCTTAAAGTCACCGTCGCGGCGTTGCGCGTGGCGTCGTTCTCGTGGGCAGTCAACGTGGCAGTGACATGGCTCGGTGTCCCACAAGCGATGCTCCCGACGTAACCTCGCAGTCGACGCTCCCGACGCCGCGGTGCACGCAGCCCTGCCGGGGTGTGCAGCCACACCATAAGAGTCGCTTGCTGGCAGCGCCGCCGCGTCTCGCCTGCTCCAGAGAAGGATAATTATTAAAACCTGTTATTCATTCCTCGGGCCGCGTAGGCACGCCCGGAGCAGGGCTCTTTGAAAAGCCGGCCCGGAGTATTTAGCCCAGGATAGCGGAGCTCGCTTCTCTCTCTCTCCTGTGCCCCCATGCTGTGATGTCCCACCCGGGGGGGGGGGGGGGGAAGGGTTATGGTTCGTGTTGTTGTTGGGGGGGGGGGGCACTCTTTGAAGGCCCTGATTGGTGGCTCCACGTAGCCCCTAGGGCCATGACCCCACCCTCCCCCACCCCGGGTTTAACCCCTTCCCACCCCCGGGCACCGTGGCCGCGTTATCCCTGCCTCATCCCCACCTGGGGACCCCACCCCTTAAGCCTCGCCCTTGAGCGTCCGTCCGTCTGCCCGTGTGTGTGTCTATCCACGTGTCTCTGAGTGAGTCTACCCACGTGTCCGTGCGTCTGTTCGCGGTTCTGTGTTTTTGTTTGTCGGTGTGTTTGTTCATCATTTGTCTGTGCTTGCACGTGTCGTCCGTGCGTCACCCGTGTCTGTGCCTTTGTGGCTGTCTGTATATCCACGTGTCCGTTCGTGTGCGTCCACTCTTGTCTCGGCCTTGTTATCTGTCGGCGTGTCTGTCTGTACGTGTGCACAATTACGCTCGTGCGCGCGCGTGTACTTACACGTGTACTTACACGTGTACTTACACGTGTACTTACACGTGTACTTACACGTGTACTTACACGCGCACGAGCGTAATTGTGCACAGAGCCAGCGCGGTAAGGTGAGCGTCGTGTCCCAGGGCCGCTTCTGCGGGCGCCGCCTTCCCTTGGATGTGACGGTGCTGTGGGGGGTGGCGGCCAAGTGGGGGGGGGGGGGGGGGGTGCAGGGGGGCCGTGGGGGCCGGGGGGGGGGAAGCGAGGCTTTGTTCTGCGCCCGTTGATGGTGGCGCCGCGTGATGGCGCACGTGGCCTGGCACCCAGGGCCCAGCCTCCTCCTCCTCCGCGCCCACGGGGGACGCGGGCCTCGTGTGTGCACGCACACGTGTGAGCGCATCTGTGACAGCGTGCACACGCACGCGTGCGCGCGCTTGTAACGAGCACGCATTGATTAGCATACTGCGCTTTGAATTAGGTGATCTGAGTTTGATTCCCGCTCACGGCCGACACCAGTGACGATTTTCTGCACCGGTCCTAGGCCTCCCCTAGGTCGACTCGGCCTCAAATGAGTACCTGGCATTGTGTGTAAATATTGCCGCTGTGGAGACAAAGGTACTGGCCAACCACCCCCTTGTGAGCCGTTCCGGCCTTCATAGGTGGTCGCTAACAGCACTTGCCCCAAGCATTTATGAAAAGTTGTACGGGGAATCTTAGCTTTTATATATATACACACATGCATGTGTGTATCTGTGTGCTTCTGTCTCTATCCGTGTGTGCGAGTGTGTGGGTCTGCATGCATGTGCGTTTGTCTTTGTGGGGGTCTTTGTGTCACCGGCCTTAATAGACACTAACAGCGCTTGCCCCAGCAGGCTTTAGGGGAATCTTTAATTTCTGTTTGTCCATGCATGTGGGTGTCTATGTATTTGCGCGCATGCGTATCTGATGGGTGGAGTGGTGGGATAGTCGTTAACGTACTGCGCTACAAAACTGGTGATGCAAGTTTGATTCCAGGATGTGGGTAGTGGCGAATATCTTAACTGATCCCGTGCCTCAGTTAGGTCAACTCGGCCTTAAATGAGTACCTGGTGCAGTATATTAACCGACGGCCGGGAGTGGTGATAGCCACGCCATCCCCTCTTGCGCCGTTCCAACATAAAGAGGTGCTTGCTAACAGCACTTGCTCCAATAGTCTGTTCAAGGCCACATTGGTGATCCATGTTTTTTTATGGGTGGTGTGCATTCGTCTGTGCGTTTGCGTGTGCGCCTGTACATCTGTCTGTGTGAGAATGTGTGGATGTGCACGCGTATTTCTGTGCGTCCACGTGAGTGCGTTTGTTCATCTGCGTGCATGCTCGTAAGTGTATGCATATGTCTGACATCTGTGTGTCGCCTCTATGGCCGTGTGAGTGTAGGTCTATACGCCTTGTGTGCATGTGTCTGCCTGTGTGCCTGTGCGGGTCTGTACATCTGTGCTGCCGCCCCTGTATCTGCGCATCTCCGCATTTCTCTGTATAATGTTATGATTGAGAGCGAGCGAACGGAGGGAGGGATGAGGCTGGCCATGGGGCGGCTGGCGGCTGGCAGTGCGGGTTGGCGGTGGGGGGCTGTAGTTTTCCGGGTAAGTTGGAGGGTTTTTTTGCGGATGGGCCTGGGCGGGGCGTCGCCGTGGTTACGGGATGCCCCGAGGCGTGCACTGGCCTGCTGCCTGCGTGCGCGAGCGAGCGAGCGAACGAGGGAGCGAGCGAGGGCTGTGTTTCCGTGGGGCGTGCGTCGCCCGCGGCGTCCCGTGTACCCTGGCGTTTGAGACAGTGTGATTGCTGCCCCCTCTCCCCACCGCCCCCCCTCCTCGCTCCCCACTTCCCACTCTCGAGCCCCCCCCCCCCCCCATCACCGCCCCCGCCCCCGATTCCAGGCGTGATTACTGCCCTGCTCCTGGCATAATTCCTCCTTCCTCTCCAAAGATTTCTCTTTTCTGTTTCAACTTCTGAGGCTTTATAGGGGATTTTTTTCCCCCCTCTTAAATCTTTGCATCACTCCCATTTGCCCCAGAGACAAAATTAATTTTCTTTTCTTTTTTTCTTTCTAATAAACCAAAGAAAGATATCGGCAGAGCTGTTATTTTATTTTTCTTTTCGCAAATGTTTTTCGCCCGTTCGGTTCGTGTCGGGTGTTTTTTAACGAGCCCTCGAACGAGCTAATTGGAAACGGTGCCGTTGGTGGCCTCCTGCTCACATCCCCTCCCCACACCTCCCTCCCCTCCGCTTCCCCGCCGCCCCCCTTCCCCCCCGCGCGTCTCCCAAGGCTGCGGATTTTTGGTGCAAAATGCAAATGAGCGGCTGCCGTGGCGACGTCTCGCGATCCGCGGAGCGGGAGAGCGGTAACCCCCACCCCCCCCACCCCCCGGGAAGTTAGCGCGCTGGCCCTGAGCGCGTGCACCGGCCACCGGGAACGTGCCGATGGTGCCGTGTCTCTCCGTCGCCGGCAGCATGAACCCTCCCGCAGGCCGCGTCCTCCCGCACTCTGCCCAGTACGCATTCCAGTAAACAACCACGACCACCGCTACCACCGCTAACTACCAATACCACCGCTCACCACCACAGTCATCACCACCACCACGACTACCACAATCAATCTCTCTTCTTTACTCGAGGAATCTCATCTCTTCAATCCCCTGCCTAGCGCACACCCGCCCAGCGCACACCCGCCCAGCCCACTCCTCGCATCACCCCAGGGCACCCCACAGTGTCACAACTGCTCAGCACACATCACGTGACCCTCCCCTAGGCAAAAACCACTCGTCGTGGACGGGGGCACTGGGCTAGGGGGTTTGGCTGACGGGAGAGAAGTGGGGGGCTCTGGGCGAGAGAGGGTCGAGCTGGGTGGCATCTGGCCTGTGGCAGGCCAGGGTCCTGGCGCAGTGGGCAGCGCACGTTTTTTCACGATGATGATGTTTATATATTAAATTATTTATGGAGAGTTTTAAGACCTCGTATGTGCGCGTGTGTGCGTGTATGTGCGTGTGCGTACACGCACATATGTGCATGTATGCGCGTGTGTGCGTCTGCCAGCGAGCGCCGGTGCCGAGTCGCGCTCCGCGGCGCCGGAGACTCGGAGAAAATCAACGCGAGGAGCGTGGGACGTTCAAAATGGTTTAGCTGTGCATATTTACAAGCGCAGTGGGAGTCCTGCTCGGGTTTTTTTTTAATCCATTTTCCTCCCCTCTCGCTCTCACACTCCATTGCTCGCTCGCTCTCGCTCTGTCTCTTCCTCCCAGGCTGCCTCCTTCCATTCCCCCCGCCCCTACAGTTCCCCCCCAGAAGCGTCTAATGACCTCGTTAGTTTTGCTCGCGGCAGTGGCGGCGGCGGCGGCGCACGCGTCCCATTCGTTGCGAGCGGCGGTGACGCGCCGACTCCTTGCCGCGGGCTGCCCGCGTGCCCGCCAGCACCCGCCCGCGCAAGCGTCGCTCCCGTCTTGCCTCGCCGGCGCTACCCAGGCCGCACCCTCGCTCCGGCCGCAGCCCTCGGCAGCCGCCGCCGCCGCCGCCGTGGCGCCCCCAACGACAGCCTCCTCCAAATCCCTCCCCCCGCCGCACACCACCACCCCCCAAACCATCGCCCACACCCCGAGGTCAGATGACATTGGTCTCTGGCTCTCTGTCCCGAGGTGCGCCCTCCCCGCTCCGATGGGCCGCTCCCCCTACCCCCCGACAACCGCCACCTCTCACCTCTGCGCTTTGACCTCGGGCCACGGGGCACTCGGACTCTGTCCCCCGCGATCATCCAGGAGGTACACCTCCGGGGGTTGGGGGGGGGGGGTCGAGTCGGGCCCCTGCACCCCCCCACTCGGCCGCCCCCGGCTAGCCACACCGCTCCTGGCCCGACCGCCCCCGTGCCCAAACCAGTATAGCCTCCCCATACAGTGCGTGTTGTTTAGCGCTCTCCTCCTAGAGGAGCCCCAGGCGCTACAGTGAGCGCCTCCTCCTCCTCCTCCGCGCGCTTGCGCCGTCGCTCCGAGTCGTGGCGAGCCCCCCCCCACCCAAAGACAAAGACGCTCACTCACCACGCGGAGTCGCCACGTTTCGTGCGGCAAGAGTGGGGGGGCACCACCGCGGATGGAGCCCCCCACCCCCCACCGCCGTTTCCCAACGCACGCACCCTCGGGGCCCCCTCGCCCCTTTCCTCTAACCTCCCTCCTCCCCCGGCTGCCCCCCCCCCCCCGCATGGCTGGGGCACTGTAGCCGCGTCGTGGCAAATTAAAGTCATGGGGCAGAGATGCCCCGGGGCGGCCCTGACTAACGTGGCAAGGGAGGGTGCGGACACGGAGGCAGGCGGCAGGCGGGCAGGACGGAGGGAGGGAGGGATGTGGAAAGGGGGGCGGGGGTGACGGGGGTAGGTGGGGGGTTGCGGTAGGGAGGGGCCCCCCAGGGCTTGCGGGCCAGGGCGAGGCGAGGCTGTTTGCGGGTCCTCGCGAACCGCTGTGGCTCCACGTGAACTTTCTTCCTCGTGAGCGTGCGCGGCTCCCCACCGGGCCCACGGGCCCTGAAGGGACTCGCAGGGACCCGGAGGGACCCGGAGGGACTCGCAGGGACCCGGAGGGACTCGCAGGGACCCGGAGGGACTCGCAGGGACCCGGAGGGACTCGCAGGGACCCGGAGGGACTCGCAGGGACCCACGGGGGCCCCCGATGTCTTTGCCGCCGCGAGAGAGGAGTTGCTCGCTTGTGGAATGCCGCTCCGCCCCCGTAGGGCTCGGTGGCCGCGGGCAGCTCTGAGGAGCAAAGTGGAGCTGACCTCTTGACCCAGCAGTCAGCCTAGGTGGGGTTGAGAAGCTCCTGGATCTGTCTTTTTTTCACTTTTCTTATTTTCTGACACCAAAGTAACGTCTCCATATTCCTCCGCGGTCAGGAAGGAGCGATCAGCCATCTCGGCGCTCTGCCGCCGTGCCCAGCAACGGGATCCAAACGTTACGGTCCTGAGAAGGGGAAGAGGGGATGGTGTCAGGGGCCAGGCGAAGGTGGCGGTGGGGGAGGGGGTTTAGATACCCGGGGTCAGATGGGTTGCAGGAGCCAGCCGTGTGTCCTGTAGCTCCCAGTCTGGGAGGGACGGTGATGATGCGACGGAGCGGAGGGTGACGCTCGCACTCCCACCCCGCCGCAACCGCTCTCACCGTTGTCGCTCCCTGCGGCCGTCACTCAGCGTCGAGAGTCTCGCGGTCGGCAAGGCGCAGAGTGACCCTGGGCGGCGCTTCGCCGTGCCCTTCGCGGCTCCAGCTGGGCGGGAATTGGCGGCCGGGGGGGGGGGGCTTCCCGTAGGTGCCCTCTACCACCCTCCTGTAAAATCCGCCCGTCTGCCCAACTTGCCGGCGACCGAGTGGGCTGGTGGCCGAGCGAGCGAGCTGCCGGCCACGCGGTTGAGAGAAGTCACTAAATCACTCGTGTGAGCCGTTAGGCCGGGCGGCGGCGTGCGGCACGCGACGTCGCCTGTGACCTCGCCCGTTGATCCTGCGCACGGCCCGGGAGGCGGTGGAGGGCTTGGAGCAGGGGAATTAATGCCCCCCCACCCCGCTCCAAAACATGTTCCCCTGAGACGCACACCTCTGATCCAGTGCTCTTCCGCGGCAAGGATTGTTGAATCGCACAGATGATTTGAGAATTCCCCCAACCCTTCTGGGCTGCAGGGGTCCAGGACGCGGTTGAAAACGTTGCAGTGCAGCTTACCCCGGAATCTGAGTCTTGAGACTTCAGGCTTGGGTCAAGACTCGGCGATGTGTTTGTCTCTTGGTTATCATCGTACATTTTTGTCCGCCCCCTTAGCACATAAATGCAACATTAGTGGAGAATTCTCATTGAAATAAAAAATAATCTCTCGTCGCGCATACGGCTCGATGGGGCTTATCGTAGAGTCGGTGCGTTCTTAATGAGCTCGCTCTCCTGGATAAGTAAATGATATAAAATGCGTTACCATCCCCCCCACCACCTCCCAGTGTCCACCTGCAGCATCCACCTCCACTCGAGCGCGCTGTGGTAGTGCACATTAACCCGGAGTTACGGGTTCGCGACCGGCCTGGGGCCATGGTCACGTGACACCCGGGCGGGCGGGCGGGCAGGCGGGTGGACGGGCGGGGGTTGATGATTGTACCCCAACCCCCCTCCATCAAACCCAGCTTGCGTCCGGGGGCTGTGTCGTGGGATCTCGGGGGGCACGTACAGGGCGTGGTGCGTGGCGGGGCCGGTCCCCCGTGGCTGTGGCTCTGCCCTAACATTAAGGCGCCCGTCAAGTATGCAGCAGTGCAGGTTGCGGTTTGCTAAACCCCAAAAATGACGAACGCCCGCGGCGCTCTCGCTCGCGCTCACGGGCCTGTGGACGCCTGTGGAGGCGTCGGCCGCTGGTGAGAGTCGCTCGTCTGTGCGTCGTTCGTTTGATCGCTCGCTCACTCGCTCGCTCGCTCGCTCAGCGGTCTATCCGTTCGCTCACCCGCCTGTTCGTCTGTGTGTGCGTGTGTGCCTGCTTGGTGTGCGTGCGTGCCGTTAGCTGTGAGCGGCCCGACGGCATGTGCTCTCATGCCAGTGTGACACAAATCGAGGGCGCGGAGCGCGCTGCTCTTTGTATTTTTTGCGTGTCTGTATGTGTGACTGTATGTTTGTCTGCGAGACGGTGTGTGTGGACCCCGCTACAGGATCACCTGCACCCTATTGAAACATACAGGCTGGCCTGTCTACGATCCATCCTTGGGTTAACCAGGTTGGGTTGTGCAAGGAGCTCAAAGATTGGCTGGCAAGGCTGCTTTGGCTGGGTCATGGACAGTCATCATATGCCGCAGAATCTTCTGTTTGGCCGGATAGAGGGGGCTGATCGGGAACGGCACGGACTAGAGAGGAGATGGGCTAGTCCAATGTGAGACGATTTGGATCTGGACTTGCTGATGACCGGTACGAGTGGTGTTAAGATCGTCATCTGCGCACGAGGCTCATGAAGGACGGTACTGGGAAGTTGGAGGCGGGCCCCTTCCAACAGCAATGGAGGGCGGAGGAGCAACGCTCACAACAACGAGCGGAGCGCCAGGCGGTTAAAAGCACAGTTGGTGCATCTGCCAGTCATCTCAGTCAACCCATGGTACCTGGATCTGCCCTCTGATCTCTTACCAGCCAGCCTTCTACACTTCACGTGGTGTCAATGCGCAGCGAGTGTGTCACGTCTGTTGAGACATCCCCGTCACTTAGTGGCGAATGGCGGCTGTCCCTTTTGTGTGTGGGTAGCGGGTGTGGTGGTGGAATAGTTGACTTCCACGTAAGCAACGCATTAGGCCCCAAACTCCCTGCTAGTTGGACAAGTGTATTATGGGACAAGTGTATTATGGGACAAGTGTATTATGGGACGACCTCTGTGAGGTGACACCTGAGTCTCGAGTGGTGATGGATGAAGCCGAACACAGCAGGCTGCTGACCTTGTCACGCCGTGTTCTTCACCTCGCGTGTCCCCTCTTCTCCTCCTGCACCTCATCTCTCCTCCGCCTCCTCGTCTACCCGACCCAACCTCCTCCCTTCCCTCCACCGCTCCTCTTTCCCATTCCCCCTCATCCCCCCTGCCCACTCCGCTCCCTCGCACTCCCCCCGTCGTCCTCGTGTCCCTCACCTCAGGGTGGAGCGACGTCCGGCGCGGCGACGGCCGCCGCGTCCTCCTCATCGTCCGCCTCCTCGTCGTCGTCGTCGTCGTCGCTGTCCCAGGCGGGGGGGGCGGCGGGGGCCGGTCAGGGGCCATCGGGCGCCGGCGGGGCAAGCGGGACGCCGGCGTCGAGGCCGTTCTCGCGACAGAGAATCACCCGCGTCAACCTCAGGGACCTCGTCTTCTACCTGGAGCAGGAGCGAGAGGGCAGCCACTCGCTGCTGCTCTTCCAGGCGCTGTTCAAGTGACCCCCCCACCCTCGCCCGCCCTCCCCCCCTCTCTCCCTCCCCCACGTGCCCGGCCCTCCCCAGGCGCGAGACGGCGCCCGCCCCGACGACTCGGCCCATTCTCTTCGCCGGTGCCGCCGACGCCGTAGTGGTGGCGGTGGCGGCGGTGCCGGTGAGGGGAAGATGGAGGAGGAGAGAGAATCATAAGTCTGTCCTTGTAGCTGGGATGGTGCTAATGGAGGGGGGGGGGGCTCAGTGACACCCCGCTTTTGCCTTCCCCCCCCCCACTTGCTTTGCTGGGGGGCGGGCATTGGTGGAGGGGGGGGGGGCGAGCTGTTGGAGGAAGCGCTGTGTGGAGAGTCTCGTGTGCGTGGTGAGAGTGAATGGTGAGAGTGAATGGTGAGAGTGAATGGTGAGAGTGAATGGTGAGAGTGAATGTACGCGCGTGGTGAAAGTGAATGGTGAGAGTGAATGTACGCGCGTGGTGAGAGTGAGTGTACGCGCGTGGTGAGAGTGAATGTACGCGCGTGGCGAGAGTGAATGGTGACAGTGAATGTACGCGCGTGGTGAGAGTGAATGGTGAGAGTGAATGTACGCGCGTGGTGAGAGTGAATGGTGAGAGTGAGTGTACGCGCGTGGCGAGAGTGAGTGTACGCGCGTGGTTAGAGTGAATGGTGAGAGTGAATGTACGCGCGTGGTGAGAGTGAATGGTGAGAGTGAGTGTACGCGCGTGGTGAGAGTGAATGGTGAGAGTCAGTGTACACGCGTGGCGAGAGTGAATGGTGAGAGTGAATGTACGCGCGTGGCGAGAGTGAATGTACGCTCGTGGTGAGAGTGAATAGTGAGAGTGAATGTACGCTCGTGGTGAGAGTGAATGGTGAGAGTGAATGTACGCGCGTGGCGAGGGAATGTACGCGTGGCGAAGGTGAATGTACGCGCGGTGAGTGAATGGCGAGTGTGAATGGTGAGAGTGTACACGCGTGCGTGTGCCTGATTTTTCCTTGTTTATTTATCAGCCCCACACCCCCCCCCCCCTTGCTGTTGTGATGTTTCTCTCCCATGCCCCCCACCCAAATTCCCTTCCTCGCCCCCCACCCCCCCCACTGGCCAAGAATAATAATGATGATGACTTCCGGGGGAGAGTGGGGGACAGAGGGGGAAGCTCCTTAATGTCACCACCATCCCCACAATCGCCGTCATCAAAATTGCCATCGTCACCATCGTCACCACCGTCACCACCGTCGTCGTCACCACCATCCCCACAGCAGCCGTCATCGCCACCACCGTCCTCGGTATTGTTCGTGATGTTGGCACGGTGTGCGTCTCGCCTCCGCACGGAAGGAACCCATCTCTCAAGCCAATCCTAGCGAAATTTCTACGACGAAAAAATTGTTTGCACTGCGCAATTCTCGGGCATCTCTCTAACGAATCCTGCTGCATCTCCGCCAGCGTGGACCGCGCCGGCTCCAGTCTCACATGGACGACTCAGCGCGAGCGGGCGAGCGAGCGCGCGCCCCACGGCTCTCCCACCTCCCCTGTACATAGTTTTACGCGCTCTTTTTTGGACAGAAAACAAAAAGATAGAATATACGTTGTCACACCTTTGAGAATTGTGTTCATATTTTTGGTAATAAATAATGGATCCGAGGTTTTTGGACGTGGCTGTGACGTCGTGGAGCGTGCGTGCAGAGTCACGATTATCTGAACCGGTTTATGGCTCGCGACCAACACCAGTGACGATTATCTGAACCGGTGTATGGCTCGCGACCAACACCAGTGACGATTATCTGAGCCGGTCCTCGGCCTCCCATAGGTCGACTCGGCCTCAAATGAGTGACTGGTGCGGCGTGTAAACAAAACATCGCCACTGGAGAGACAAAGGCGGTCGGGTGTGGTGTTGGCCACCCCACCCCTTCGTGCACCATGCCAGCCTTCCTCGGTGCCCACTAACAGCACTTGCCCCAACAGGGATCTTTGCGTGTGGCCATGATTCACGTTCTCGCTGCACCATCCCCGCTTCAGTCGCAGCCTTTTGCCGAAAGTAACACGTTACACATCTTATATTGATTATATTGGGGGCGGTGGAGTGCTGCATCCTGCCATTCGTCTCGGGTCGGCAGTGCAGTCTCACACACTTCAAGTTGCTTGACAGCCAATGACGGCCCTTGATGGGGGTGTGTCACTGAGAGGTGCTCTCTTACAGCACTTACCTCCAACAGTCTGTTAAGGCGACACGGTGGGTGGGGGGGGGGGTCCAGGAACGCGCCGCCTGGTTGCCCGTCTCTCCCCAGGAACACGCAGTGCGACACGCCAGGGTTTACAGCTGCTTTTCTTTATTGTTTATTATTATACACAAAAGTACGAACTTCATCGACCACCAAGACATCGCACCTACGCCTAGGTGACAACTGTATCAAGTGACATGCTTGTGTCACGCGTCCCAGTGTCACGTGTTCAGGTGTCACATGCCTGTGTCACGTGTTTAGTCGTCACGTGTTGAGATATCACACCTGTCACATGTTCAGGCATGCCCCGTTTAGAAATCAAACACCTGTCACGTGTTTAGATGTCACACCTGTGTCACGTTCAGGAGTCGCACACCTGTGTCACAGGTTCAGATGTCTCGCCTGTTACCTGTTTAAGGTGTCACACCTGTATCACGTGTTTAGGTGTCAACCGTCACACCACATCGATCCCCGCCTCCCACGTCCCCCACCCGGACTCCCGCCTCTGCCTCCTGCAGGGGCTTCAGAGTGGCCGTGGGGTCACGAGGACTGTAGTCGTCATCATCGTTATCAACCTCATCGCCATCGTTTATATAAATACAACATCGCGCCCGTCCATCGATCGAGGAGGGGAGGGAGAAGGGGGGTGTGAGGGGAGGGAGTCGGCAGGGCGACTTGCTTTGAACTCTTGACCCCAGGGATGGGATCGACTTTTTGAAATGAGCGGCTCGCAGACACGTACATACACGTGTACACACAGATAAAGATCCCCCATGCAGCCTTTAATAGACTGTCAGGGCAAGAGCTGTTAGCGAGCACCTACGAAGGCTAGCACGGCACACGAGGGGGTGTGTGGCCAGCACCACGCCCGTCCGCCTTTGTCTCCCTAGTGGCCATGTTTACACCACACCAGGTACTCAATTGAGACGAGTCAGCCGAGGGGAGGCCCAAGACCGACTGATATCGTCAGCGGTGTTGTCCGCGAGCGAGAATCGTACTCGGGTTGTTGGGTTCGTAGCCGAGCGCGCGATCCGCTCCCCACACGCGCGGGCCACGTGCTATGTGGTGCACGCACCTGGGCCACATCGCTTCCTCGCTGGGCCATGCCCCCCGTGAACACGGCCAGTGGCAGTGACGCACTGCAGAGAGCGGGCGGGCGGGAGACCCCGGGAGAAGAGGGCGTCCACGCGTGCAGCCTCCTCCACGCTCCTCTCCCCTTGTGCGCTCGGTTTCTCCGCGATTAAAAAATACTCAGAAAATAAAGACGGGGGGCTGTGGCGGCGGCGACAACAAGAAGAGGAGGAGGGGCAGTAAGTTGGTTAAAATTCCCAAAGTAGCGGGACTGCCGAGAAAACGAGCCTTGAGACTCGGCAAAGCGGTCCTGGGTCACTCGGACTTTGTGTGGAGTTGCGCGCAAAGCTTTTGCAGTGGGGTGGGTGGAGGGGGTGGGGGTGGGGGTGCTGGGGGAGGCACGGGATGGAAGGGGGGTGCAAGGGGAGACGGGGAAACAGGGAGACATTGAGGGAGAGCAGAGGGAGACGGCAACACAGGAAGACACGGAGGCATCGGGGGGGGCAGGGGGAGACGGAGGGAGACACGAGACTCGCCGAGTGCGAAGTTTAAACAAGAATGAGAGATTTGTGAGTTTGCTTTGCCTCTCCCTCTTTTCCTCTCTCTCCCTCCTCGTCTCTCTCCGACTCTGCGTTCTTTCTGTCTGTCTCTCCGTCTCCCTCTGAAACAACATGCTCACATCCTGAGCTCTGACCGAGCATGGAGCGCACAAGCGGTGCATCACCACCACCCAGCTCACCAATCATCACCACCACCACCGCGATCAGCAGGTTCTCTCGTGAAACTTCATGGCATTATCACAGCCAACGATAGCGACGCTGGTAAACTTCTTCATCTTCCACGACCATCATCTTCACCAGCACCATCATCACGATCCTCCCATCCCACCATCATTGTCATCACCGAGTCTCATCCCCATCTTCTTGATCTCATCACCCTTCACCACCACCACAATCATCATCTTCCACAATCCCCGTGCTCCCCATTCCCCCCCCTACCGCCTCCTCTACCCCCACCCTTTCCCCCCCCTGCTCCCCACGGCTCTCCCAGTCCAGGGGTTTCCTCCTCGATGTCGACGCGTCCCCCACGAACCTCATCAGCCCCCCCCCCCATCCCGCTCAGTCCAGGGGCTCCTCCTTGATGCGGATGACGGCGGTGTGCTGCTGGGGGGCGCGCCGCACCTCGCGGCGCATCAGGTACTCGCTGAACTGGGACGAGTCGATGCCTCCACCGCTGGAGCCGACCACGGAGAAGCCGCGGTGCAGCAGCCTCTCCAGCACCTGCCACGGGGGGGGGGGGGGGGGGGCGGGGGGGCAATGGACGGTGATTCACCGCTGAGGAGGAGACCGGAACGTCATCGCACAACCTCCTCCTGGCGCTGACGTCCCTCGAAAACAACCTCTCTTCACTCCTCACCCCCCTCACACACCCATCACACCCCTCACACCCATCACACCCCTCACCCCTCACACCCATCACCTTTCACCCCTCACTTCTCACACCCATCACCCCTCACTTCTCCTCACCCCTCACACCCATCACCCCTCAGCCCCAAGCGGGCGAGCGAGTCATCACCTGCACGGAGTTGAGGCGGCAGTATCCGTTGAGAGGGAAGCGGATGACGTGCGTGGAGTCGTGGTTCCAGCCGGCGTTGGCGCTGTTGCAAATGGCGTTGCCGATCTCGGGGAAGGTGTCTGCGATGAGCGCCTTGTCACCGCTCACCGTGATGCGCTCGCCCAGCTCGGGCGTCACCCTCACCACCAGGCAGTCGCACGGCCGGCTCACCTTGGCCAGCTCGCGCTCCTGCCGCCACCGCTCCAGCTCCTTGACCAGCGGCGCCACCTGGAAGTAGCGCGCCTCCTCGTACAGCAGGCTGAAGTCCTGCGGGTGGGGAGGGCACGCGCAAGAGCGGGGTTGGTGGATCACGCAGGGATTGAGCCGACGACAACAGTAGGACGGTGGTTCGCAAACTCTCCGGATCCGCGGGGGTCGCCGCTGGCCCCTCAACTTTGGCGCTTTGTGGCGATTACCCACGGCCACGGCAGCTTCCGGCACCGCCGGCGAGCAACGGCGGCAACCCTGGCGGGGAGGAGGAGCGTGGAGAGCACCGCGGCCTGACCTCGGCGGAGGCCTCGAACTCCTCCCGGATCTGCCCACCCCACTTTAACCTCGCCCTCGCGACCGGGATGGGTGGATCGCGTGGGGATAAGGCGTCGCGCCGGACAGAGCCGGTTTCCGTCGGTCCTCGCCGCAGCCCCGCGCCGTGACCCAAATTGCGGTGTTAGGCACCGCACGTGCCTGATGATGGGTCAACGCATGCAATCTGCTCCCTTTTGCTGCTACCGCCGAGGGCAGGCAAGGACCGCCACCGCCACCCCTAACGTCGCGGTCCGGCAGAGCGTGACCTCGAGTGCGCGGGGTCAAAGGGCGAGATAAGGCAGGGGGAGAGGTCAAGGGGTGAACCCTCCCTGCCCTCCTGCCCTCCTGCCCTCCTGCCCCCTGTCCCCACCATCAGCCGGGCTCTGCACCTTGAAGTCCTCGGGCAGCAGCAGCTTGGCGGTGCGCAGGAAGCTGAGAATGAAGCGGAACATCTCCCCGTCGCGGTCGATGAAGTAGTGCTGCTTGAGGCTGTCCAGCACGATCGGCTCTGTGCCGTCAAACAGCCGCCCGATCCTGCGGGATTGTGGGCACGGGGGGGACATGGCGAGCAGAGGTCAAGGTATGGGACCAGGGCATGAGGGAAATTGGCACCAAGGGATCGGGCGTCGTGGGGATTGGGGATCAGAGGCTGGGTAGCTTGATTGATCAGGAATGGGGACTCGGGAGACCAAGCGACCAGGTCCCTCTGCAGCGTCGCATCTGTCTGCACGTGTTCATTTGCCGGCGGCCATGATGACGATGCTTCCGATAACCTTCGCATTGGTGGTGCTGACGATGACGATGATGATGGTGATGGCGATGATCGCGATGATTTTTCTGCTGCCGATTTTAATGCTGCTGCTGCCAATAATGATTGTGCCGCCGCCACTCACCGGCTGTCGTTGTACTTGGTGAGCGTGGCGAGGCTGCTGGTGTACATGTGCCCGCCCACGTCGATGTGCACGGGGGCATTGGACTTAGTGAGCTGAGCGGGCGCCGGGATGCCCTGCGAGCTGAGCGGCGACGCCGGGGAGCGCGGCAGCGTGGGGCGCGACATCGCGGGGGGTCTCTGCTGCTCGCGGGGGGCACGGGGGGGGGGGTGGGTGGGTTGGGGGGCGGGGAGGGGAATGGAGGGGGGGGGATGAGACGCGATGAGTCACATGGGAGACACGGGGAGATGGGGGGGGGGAGATGGGGGGGGGAGATGGGGGCGGAAGATGGGGGGGGGAGATGGGGGGGGAGATAGGGGGGGGAGATGTGGGGGGAGATGGGGGGAGATGGGGGGGGAGATGGGGGGGGAGATGGGGGGGGAGATGGGGGGGGAGATGGGGGGGGAGATAGGGGGGGGAGATGTGGGGGGAGATGGGGGGGGGAGACGGGGGGGGAGACGGGGGGGGAGACGGGGGGGGAGACGGGGGGGGAGACGGGGGGGGAGATGGGGGGGAGATGGGGGGGGAGATGGGGGGGGGGAGATGGGGGGGGGGAGATGGGGGGGGAGATGGGGGGAAGATGGGGGGGGGATGGGGGGGGGAGATGATGGGGAAATGGGGGGGGGGGTGAGAGACGGGGAGACACGGAAACGCACTTCAGGGAGGGGACACAGGGTGAACAAATGCATACCCCATACTCATTTAAAGTCTGAGCTAACTTAAAGGAGGCCCAGCCCATATCACGATACCACGCGTCACCGTTCAGTCACCATGGAGCCGAGACACCGTCAGTGTGTGCGCCGTGTGAGTGAACACGTAGGAGGGCAACACTCATCACTTACCAACACCCATCACCTAGCAACACATCCCTTACCAACACCCATCACCTAGCAACACATCACTTACCAACACCCATCACCTAGCAACACATCCCTTACCAACACCCATCACCTAGCAACACTCATCCTTTACCAACACCCATCACTTCGCTACACTCATCCCTTTGTAACACCCATCACCTAGCAACACAACCCTTACCAACACCCATCACCTAGCAACACATCCCTTACCAACACCCATCACCTCGCAACACTCATCCCTTTGCAACACCCATCACCTCGCAACACATCACTTACCAACACCCATCACCTAGCAACACAACCCTTACCAACACCCATCACCTAGCAACACATCACTTACCAACACCCACCATTTAGCAACACTCATCCCTTACCAACACCCATCACCTAGCAACACATCCCTTACCAACACCCATCACCTCGCAACACTCATCCCTTTGCAACACCCATCACCTAGCAACACCCATCACCTAGCAACACATCCCTTACCAACACCCACCAGCTAGCAACACATCACTTACCAACACCCATCACCTAGCAACACATCACTTACCAACACCCATCACCTAGCAACACATCCCTTACCAACACCCATCACCTAGCAACACATCCCTTACCAACACCCATCACCTAGCAACACATCCCTTACCAACACCCATCACCTAGCAACACATCCTTTACCAACACCCATCACCTAGCAACACAACCCTTACCAACACCCCTCACCTAGCAACACATCCCTTACCAACACCCATCACCTAGCAACACATCCCTTACCAACACCCATCACCTAGCAACACACCATCAGCAAGAGACATACATCGTCTAGCAACACTCATCTCCAACTCGCGACACGCGGCAACCCCCGTCACCGCCAGGGATGAGCGCGACCGCCCGAGCAAGTGACTCAGCTCGCCGAGCCACCACGTGGGGACCACGTGGTGTCCGGCTACATCAGGCCACGTGGGTCGGCAGGTGCAGGTGAGAGTCACGTGATGCGATCTTCACCCCCCTCCCGCCCCCACCCGGGTTCTCCCCGTGCCACCCGACACGACCACGTGGCCCGCTAACACCTGCTGAGGCTGCTGATGAGGCTGCTGATGCTGCCGCTGCTGAACCACGTGGTGGATGAGAGGCCGAGTTGGGGGGGGGGCTCAGGAGAGGGGGGGGGCGGTGGTGAATTTGCCACGAAACTCCGGGAAGCTGTGGTAACACCTGGAGGAGGTGGCACGTGACTGGCAGTGGTCGTTGTGAGAACAGTATTGGTTGCGGACACCCCCCGCGCTCTTGGGGAGACGAGGGGCGGAGGGGCTGGACCCTCTGTGGGGGGGGGGGGGGGGGGGGTGGAGGCTGGGGGCCTTCGTCGCATTATCCCGGGGGCTGAGTTGACCCCGGGGAGGGGAGTGAATCACCGGGGTCACGCGTCGCCTGCCTGCTCCCCCATCCCGGAGCCAAACTGCCGTGAGGAAACAGCTGGCGCCGAGAGAGGGGTCCGGGTAATCCGCCGTGGAGCTATACACGGCTAACGAGGTTTGGGGATGTTTTCATCCAGCAGTGAAGAGATCGTGGCTAATTATGGTGCATACAAATTACGTAGACTGCGACTCCATCACACCTCGCACATAAACGCCACGACCCGCCAGAAATCAATCCACTCGTTCTTCAAGCACCCCGGGTCGTTGCCAAAATTGCCGAAGTCGTAAACAAAACTTTTCAACTTTGATGAGTGCATCGTGTAGAGCTCGTCGAGAGGATTCCCTTGTCGTTCGCCTTCAACAGACATAAAATGACGTCGCAACGCGGTTTATTCGAGAGCCCGGGGTCTTATAGGGACCCCGGATCCCGCCGTAAGGTTCCGTTTTGTAGATTTTTTCCGAGTTTCGGGTCACGCCGCGTGCCTTCGTGCTAACGCCGGTGTGACGCCACCGGCGCCGGTGTGACGTCGCCGGTGTGACGTCACACCGGCGCCGCGTGCCACCTATTTTGGCGGGAAAATTACGGGCGGGCGTGACGTCACAGTATCCCCTGATCGTCCGAAATGTTCCATCGGGGCCATCGGTTTTCGGATTTAGTCCGAATATGGGGAACGCGTCCGGAATACACACACACCACACACACACACGACACACACACACACGACACACACACACACGACACACACACACACACACCACACACACCACACACACACACACACCAAACACACACACCACACACACCACACACACACACCACACAACACACACACACACGACACACACACGCCACACACACACACGCCACACACACACACGACACACACACGACACACACACCACACACACATACGACACACACACACGACACACACACACGACACACACACACGACACACACACACGACACACACACACCACACACACCACACACAACACGACACACACACCACACACACCACACACACGACACACACACACGACACACACACACGACACACACACACGACACTACACGTGTGCCACACCCACCCACACATTAAACAATGATGAACATACTGGGCCATATCCATGACACCACACCGTGGTATGCACCGCACACTGTTCTACACCGCGCAGCGTGCAATGTATAACACAGTGCTACATTACACGCATACACCGCGTATAACACGTACGCATTACGCATATCCATCATAATTCACACGGCGTATCACGCACACAGAGTACGTGATACGCCGTGATACACATACACACGTGTACGCACACACACGTGTACGCACACACACGTGTACGCACACACACAGACTCGCAGCATGTAATCCGCATTCTCCACGCACAGTGCAAGAGACGGATTGCACAAAGATCCCCCGTGTACCCTTGACAGACTGTTGGGGGACACCGATAAAGGCCGGCACTGTGGCACACGAGGGGGGGTGGGGGGGGCAGCACCACGCCCGACCGCCTTTGTCTCCCCAGTGGCGATGTTTACACACTGCACCAGGTACTTATTTGAGGCTGAGTCGACCTAGGGGAGACCCAGGACCGTTTCAGATAATTGTCACTGGGTGTTGGTGGCCGCGAGCGGGAATAGAATTTGAGTCACCGGGTTTGAAACGCAGCATAGCGATAACCACCACTACACTACCGCTCCCCACGTGCACACACACACACGTACGTACACACACGTACACACACACGTACACACACACGTACACACACACACGTACACACACACGTACACACACACACGTACACACACACGTACACACACACGTACACACACACGTACACGTACACACACACGTACACACACACGTACACACACACACGTACACACACACACACGATCACACAAAGATCCCCCATATAGCCTTAACAGACTGTAGGGGCAAGTGCTGTTAGCGAGCACTTATGAAGGCCGGAAAAGTACACGAGGGGGTGGGTGGCCAGCACCACGCCCGACCGCCTTTGTCTCCCTAGTGGCAATGTTTACACACCGCGCCAGGTACTCATTTGAGGCTGAGTCGACCTAGGGGAGGCCCAGGACCGGTTCAGATAATCGTCACTGGTGTTGGCCGTGAGCGGGAATCGAACCCGGGTCGCCAGGTTCATAGTGCAGTGCGCTAACCGCTACACGCTACACACACGATCACACACACACGTACACACACACACGGATCCTCACACACGTACACACACACACACGTACACACACACGGACCCTCACACACACGAGGCCTCACAGCATCACGAGGGGTCACGATGACCCCCGCGACGCCACCCCGCGTCCCCCGTGACCCCGCGATCCCAGTGCCTGACACGACCACCCGGACAGGCTGCGGCATCCACCCCTCTCCCCTCTCTCCCCTCTCTCCCCTCTCCCCTCTCTCCCCTCTCTCCCCTCTCCCCTCTCCCCTCTCTCCCCATTCATCCCAGGTCTCCCATCTCCACGTTTCTCCTCTCTCGAGTCTCCCTCCCGTTACCATTCTCACCATTCTCACCTCATCTCTCTCCGTGCTCCTCCTCTTCTCCCCTCTCTGATCTCCCCTCGTCTCCCCGCTCCTCACCTTCATGTCACCGGGGCTTGGTCTCCGCGAGGGGTGGTGAGGGGTGGCGAGGGGTGGTGAGGATGAGGGGTGGTGAGGATGAGGGGTGGTGAGGATGAGGGGTGGTGAGGATGAGGGGTGGTGAGGGCGAGGGGTGGTGAGGGCGAGGGGTGGTGAGGGCGAGGGGTGGTGAGGGCGAGGGGTGGTGAGGGCGAGGGGTGGTGAGGGCGAGGGGTGGTGAGGGCGAGGGGTGGTGAGGACGAGGGGTGGTGAGGGCGAGGGGTGGTGAGGACGAGGGGTGGTGAGGACGAGGGGTGGTGAGGACGAGGGGTGGTGAGGACGAGGGGTGGTGAGGACGAGGGGTGGTGAGGACGAGGGGTGGTGAGGGCGAGGTGTGGTGAGGATGAGGGGTGGTGAGGGGTGGTGAGGGCGAGGGGTGGAGAGGGGTGGTGAGGGCGAGGGGTGGTGAGGGCGAGGGGTGGTGAGGGCGAGGGGTGGTGAGGGCGAGGGGTGGTGAGGACGAGGGGTGGTGAGGACGAGGAGGGGTGGTGAGGATGAGGGGTGGTGAGGGGTGGCGAGGGGTGGTGAGGATGAGGGGTGGTGAGGATGAGGGGTGGTGAGGATGAGGGGTGGTGAGGACGAGGGGTGGTGAGGACGAGGGGTGGTGAGGACGAGGGTGGTGAGGACGAGGGGTGGTGAGGACGAGGGGTGGTGAGGACGAGGGGTGGTGAGGACGAGGGGTGGTGAGGACGAGGGGTGGTGAGGACGAGGGGTGGTGAGGACGAGGGGTGGTGAGGACGAGGGGTGGTGAGGACGAGGGGTGGTGAGGACGAGGGGTGGTGAGGACGAGGGGTGGTGAGGACGAGGGGTGGTGAGGACGAGGGGTGGTGAGGACGAGGGGTGGTGAGGACGAGGGGTGGTGAGGACGAGGGGTGGTGAGGACGAGGGGTGGTGAGGACGAGGGGTGGTTAGAGCGGGACTCTCCCTTCCACTCTTCCTCTCCCTCGCCCCTGCTCTCCTTTCTCTTCCTCTCTCCCCCTTCTCCACTCCTCCTCTCTCCTCTCCGCTCTCCTCCTCCCCTCCGCCCTCCCCTCGCCTCTCTCTGCTGCCTCTGCCGAGCGCTCTCGGCTGAAGGGGCCGAGCCAGGGACGCGGGCGGCGGGGAGCCGACGGGAGACGCGGGGAGCAGGGGGAGCCTTAGGGGAGGCACGGGGGACCGAGCGGAGAAGACAGCGAGCAAGCCGGGGGAGCAGGGGGAGCCGGGGGAGCAGGGCGAGCCGGGGGAGCCGGGGGAGCAGGGGGAGCCGGGGGAACAGGGGGAGCCGAGGGGAGAATCGGCGGAGCAGGGGGACCCCGTGCGCTTGAGGGAGCCGCTAGCGAGGAGCGCGACTCGCGCAGCGCCTCCCCTCCCTCTCGCCACAGCCGCCGCTGCCCCGGCTGCTGCCCCGGCTGCTGCCGCTGCCCTCTCCCTCGCCGCCGCCGCCGCCGCTGCCCTCACCTGGAACATGCGGCTCTCTCGCCCCTGGCCGCGCTCTCGCCGCCTCTCGTTCCTCCGCTCTCCTCCTCCTCGCCGCTGCTGCTGCTGCTGCTGCGACTGCCGGCGCGGAGAGGCGCGCAGCCCCGCCAGGAATTTGCGCCGCAAGGCGGAGGCCGCCTCGGGCGCGGGGAGGCAGGGATGGCGGTGGGGGGAGGAGGAGGAGGGTGGTGGTGAGGAGGGGAGGGGGAGGAGGAGGCTGAGGGAGGGAGGCTGTGGGGGAGCCGAGGGGGAGTCGAAGCGCGCGGGGCTGCGCGAACCGCAGCCCCGCGCCCTCCCCCCCCCTGCCTCATTCAAAGTGGCCCGGGGCGCATCGCGCGGGACGGGAGGGAGGGGGGCGGGGGGATGGCTGGAGGGGGGATGGAGGGGAAGGAGGATGGATGAAGGAGGATGGATGAAGGAGGGTGGATGAAGGAGGATGGATGAAGGGGGGATGGCTGAAGGGGGGATGGAGAGAGGGGGGAGTGTGGATGGAGGAGGGAGCGAAGAGGGAGGGAGAGCGGGGGGAGGCAGGGAGCAGGGAGAGAGGTTGCATTGGCACGGCAGGGGTTGAGAAGTGGAGAGGAGGAAGGAGGGCGAGATGCAGGGAAGGAGGATTGAGAAGACGAGGAGGGAGTGGAGGGAGTGGAAATGGGAAAGAGCGCTGCCCGGGTAAGGATTGGTAGAGTGAGGTGGGGGAGAGGGGGGATAAGGGGGGGGGGGTCAGGATTCGCCCCCCGTCGTCAGATGAAGTTTCACGATTCGATTTATTGTGGTTACCGCAGCGGCCTCTAGCGGCTAGAAAGTGTCACGTGAACCCATAACACGCCACGTCTCGGGATTGACAAACATGATAACAGTCGCGATTCGATTAATCGTTAGACATTCCCTCCTTCCCATCACCTCGGGGCTCTCCATCCCTCCACCAGTCCTCCACTATCCCTCCATTATCGCCACTATCATCCCTCCACCATCAACACCACCACCACCATCACCCCCATCTCCTCTCCCTGGGGGGCTCCGTGCTGCGCATGCGTGTTGCCCATCTCGCTTGACCCGGGGCGATGCATCAAGTAAAATAAATAATTAAACGCCCGTTGTGGCAGCTTCGCTAAAATAAATAAATAAACTCGCTAATCCGGCCCCTCCCTTACACCCTCCCCCGCCCCCCAGACATAACTCGAAGTGCACCTAGCTTGGCACGAGCCTTGCGGTAACGCCACCCGCGACTTATTGGCGAAGAGAAGAGTCGTCGTGCAGAATGTTTGCTCGACCTGCGGGTTCGTGTGCGCCTCTCCTTCATCGGTGCTCGCTAATAGTCGAGCAGGCGACTCGGGGGGGGGGGGTCTGTGACGGGGGGGGGGGTCTGTGACGGGGGGGGGTCTGCGACGGGGGGGGTCTGCGACGGGGGGGGGTCTGCGACGGGGGGGGGGTCTGCGACTGGGGGGGGTCTGCGACTGGGGGGGGGTCTGCGACTGGGGGGGGTCTGCGACTCGGGGGGGGGGTCTGCGACTGGGGGGGGGGGTCTGCGACTGGGGGGGGGGGTCTGCGACTGGGGGGGCTGCGACTGGGGGGGGTCTGCGACTGGGGGGGGGGTCTGCGACTGGGGGGGGTCTGCGACTGGGGGGGGGTCTGCGACGGGGGGGGGGGGTCTGCGACTGGGGGGGGGTCTGCGACTGGGGGGGGGTCTGCGACTGGGGGGGTCTGCGACGGGGGGGGGTCTGCGACTGGGGGGGGGGTCTTCACCCCGTGTTGTCTGTGCGCCGCTGTGTGCAGAAGTTACGTGGGGAGCGGCCGTGTAGCGGTTCGTGCGCTGCGCTACGAACCCGACGACCCGAGTTCGATTCACGGCCACCAGCACCGTTGATAGCGATTATCTGAACCGGTCCCGGGCCTCCCCTAGGCCAACTCAGCCTCAAATGAGTACCTGGCGCGGTGTGTAAACATCGTCACTTGGTATATAAAGGCGTCCGGGCGTGGTGCTGGCCACCCACCCCCTTTGTGTGCCGTATCTGCCTTCATAGGTGCGTCCGGACGGCGCTAGCCCCAGCAGTCTTTTAAGGCTATACCGGGGTTCCTTGTCATTACAAAAATCATCATTATAATGTGGTTAATCCACTGCTGGATGAGCGCCTTCCCTCGCTCATGGGTGTCCTTTGACCATACTGTACCTCTGGTCCGGAATCGGCTCAAACATCACCACTCGCCACTGACGTTAGCTGTGACCGGCAATCAAACCCAGGTCTCACTGGCCCATAGGACAATGCGCTAACGCCTGCACCACCACTCCTCTCCGGGTGCAATGGTCCTGTGGAACCCCACGAGAGGGCGGGGGGGGGTGACACTCAAAACTCCACACAGATGGATTCCTGGTGGGTCAGCAAGCCGCTCGAGCCGGGCATCGTCAACATCTGACAGCTGAGAGTGCGGCCCCGGGGCTAAGCGCCCTGAGGCAGGGGCCCCCCCCCCCCCCACACACACATCCCCTGCACCCCCTGGCGATCTCCCCTGGATCCACTCGTCCCTGTGAGTCCACCTGGCGATCTCCCCTGGATCCACTCGTCCCTGTGAGTCCACCTGGCGATCTCCCCTGGATCCACTCGTCCCTGTGAGTCCACCTGGCGATCTCCCCTGGATCCACTCGTCCCTGTGAGTCCACCTGGCGATCTCCCCTGGATCCACTCGTCCCTGTGAGTCTACTTGGCGATCTCCCCTGGATCCACTCGTCCCTGTGAGTCCACCTGGCGATCTCCCCTGGATCCACTCGTCCCTGTGAGTCCACCTGGCGATCTCCCCTGGATCCACTCGTCCCTGTGAGTCCACCTGGCGATCTCCCCTGGATCCACTCGTCCCTGAGAGTCCACCTGGCGATCACCCCTGGATCCACTCGTCCCTGTGAGTCCACCTGGCGATCTCCCCTGGATCCACTCGTCCCTGTGAGTCCACCTGGCGATCTCCCCTGGATCCACTCGTCCCTGTGAGTCCACCTGGCGATCTCCCCTGGATCCACTCGTCCCTGTGAGTCCACCTGGCGATCTCCCCTGGATCCACTCGTCCCTGTGAGTCCACCTGGCGATCTCCCCTGGATCCACTCGTCCCTGTGAGTCCACCTGGCGATCTCCCCTGGATCCACTCGTCCCTGTGAGTCCACCTGGCGATCTCCCCTGGATCCACTCGTCCCTGTGAGTCCACCTGGCGATCTCCCCTGGATCCACTCGTCCCTGTGAGTCCACCTGGCGATCTCCCCTGAATCCACTCGTCCCTGTGAGTCCACCTAGCGATCTCCCCTGGATCCACTCGTCCCTGTGAGTCCACCTGGCCATCTCCTCTGAATCCACTCGTCCCTGTGAGTCCACCTGGCGATCTCCCCTGAATCCATTCGTCCCTGTGAATCCACCTGGCGATCTCCCCTGGATCCACTCGTCCCTGTGAGTCCACCTGGCGATCTCCCTTGGATCCACTCGTCTCTGTGAGTCCACCTGGCGATCTCCCCTGGATCCACTCGTCCCTGTGAGTCCACCTGGCGATCTCCCTTGGATCCACTCGTCCCTGTGAGTCCACCTGGCGATCTCCCCTGGATCCACTCGTCCCTGTGAGTCCACCTGGCGATCTCCCCTGAATCCACTCGTCCCTGTGAGTCCACCTGGCGATCACCCCTGGATCCACTCGTCCCTGTGAGTCCACCTGGCGATCTCCCCTGGATCCACTCGTCCCTGTGAGTCCACCTGGCGATCTCCCCTGGATCCACTCGTCCCTGTGAGTCCACCTGGCGATCTCCCCTGGATCCACTCGTCCCTGTGAGTCCACCTGGCGATCTCCCCTGGATCCACTCGTCCCTGTGAGTCCACCTGGCGATCTCCCCTGGATCCACTCGTCCCTGTGAGTCCACCTGGCGATCTCCCCTGGATCCACTCGTCCCTGTGAGTCCACCTGGCGATCTCCCCTGGATCCACTCGTCCCTGTGAGTCCACCTGGCGATCTCCCCTGAATCCACTCGTCCCTGTGAGTCCACCTAGCGATCTCCCCTGGATCCACTCGTCCCTGTGAGTCCACCTGGCCATCTCCTCTGAATCCACTCGTCCCTGTGAGTCCACCTGGCGATCTCCCCTGAATCCATTCGTCCCTGTGAATCCACCTGGCGATCTCCCCTGGATCCACTCGTCCCTGTGAGTCCACCTGGCGATCTCCCTTGGATCCACTCGTCTCTGTGAGTCCACCTGGCGATCTCCCCTGGATCCACTCGTCCCTGTGAGTCCACCTGGCGATCTCCCTTGGATCCACTCGTCCCTGTGAGTCCACCTGGCGATCTCCCCTGGATCCACTCGTCCCTGTGAGTCCACCTGGCGATCTCCCCTGAATCCACTCGTCCCTGTGAGTCCACCTGGCGATCACCCCTGGATCCACTCGTCCCTGTGAGTCCACCTGGCGATCTCCCCTGGATCCACTCGTCCCTGTGAGTCCACCTGGCGATCTCCCCTGGATCTACTCGTCCCTGTGAGTCCACCTGGCGATCTCCCCTGGATCCACTCGTCCCTGTGAGTCCACCTGGCGATCTCCCCTGGATCCACTCGTCCCTGTGAGTCCACCTGGCGATCTCCCCTGGATCCACTCGTCCCTGTGAGTCCACCTGGCCATCTCCCCTGAATCCACTCGTCCCTGTGAATCCATCTGGCGATCTCCCCTGGATCCACTCGTCCCTGTGAGTCCACCTGGCGATCTCCCCTGAATCCACTCGTCCCTGTGAGTCCACCTAGCGATCTCCCCTGGATCCACTCGTCCCTGTGAGTCCACCTGGCCATCTCCTCTGAATCCACTCGTCCCTGTGAGTCCACCTGGCCATCTCCCCTGAATCCATTCGTCCCTGTGAATCCACCTGGCGATCTCCCCTGGATCCACTCGTCCCTGTGAGTCCACCTGGCGATCTCCCTTGGATCCACTCGTCTCTGTGAGTCCACCTGGCGATCTCCCCTGGATCCACTCGTCCCTGTGAGTCCACCTGGCGATCTCCCTTGGATCCACTCGTCCCTGTGAGTCCACCTGGCGATCTCCCCTGGATCCACTCGTCCCTGTGAGTCCACCTGGCGATCTCCCCTGAATCCACTCGTCCCTGTGAGTCCACCTGGCGATCACCCCTGGATCCACTCGTCCCTGTGAGTCCACCTGGCGATCTCCCCTGGATCCACTCGTCCCTGTGAGTCCACCTGGCGATCTCCCCTGGATCTACTC